ACATCAGGAAAAAGGAGCACGAGAAACTGGAGAAATACCAGGGCCTCAGGGAAGAACTGGAGAGGGCCTGGAAGGTGAAGACCACAGTGGTGCCTGTGGTCATCGGGGCCCTCGGGGCAGTAACCCCCAAACTGGAGCAGTGGCTACAACAGATCCCAGGAACAACATCAGACATCTCAGTCCAGAAATGTGCAGTCCTTGGCACAGCCAAGATACTGCGCAGAACCCTCAAGCTCCCAGGCCTCTGGTAGAGGACCCGAGCTCAGAGGATAAGAACCACCCGCGGTGGGTGAGAAGGGAATTTTTATATATATATATATATATATATATAATATATATATATATTAATATATATATATATATATATATATATATATATATATCATATCTATATCTCTTTTCTCTCTTTAGATTATATAGTTTTAGCCACTTATTACCCAACATTTTATTTAAAAGTTATGAGTCATTTACTTATTCAAACACATATAAAAATGAAACATGTTAAACCCACAGTCTCTTATCCTTTGCCATGTGAGATTTTAATGTAGAATGTAAGTTAATTTAAGTTCAAATTTACTTAGTCTGAGTAAACATCTTATCAGAGATTAATGAATTACTTTAAGTTTGTTGATCCTAATGCTGAGGTGTGAAGTCAGCGAGCAGCCCTCTTCTCATTTTAAGCCTAAGTGAGATATGAGGCGTTGAAAATTTTGGTTTAACACAATATGTCAAACAAGCAACACACACTCAAGGACACACACTGGACCTGGTTATCAGTAAGGGTGTGAATATTTCCAATGTCTCTGTAACTGATGTCGCCCTGTCGGATCACTTCGCTGTTATCTTTGAAGGTTCTTTATTCTTTGACCCACTTGGACAAACAGCTACTGTCACAAAACGTTCTTTCACAGAAAACACAGCAGAAACATTTAATCAAATCTACTCTTCCTCCTCACCCTTAAGCTGTAATGATGTAGATAAGTTGGTAGATGATTTTCAGTCTAAAGTTTCATATATCATTGATTCTATTGCTCCAATTAAAGTAAAGGTTTTGACTGGTAGAAAGAAATCTCCATTGAGAAATGCACAAACAGTTCGATCTGCAAGACAACTCTGTCTCAGAGCAGAACCAAAATGGCGTAAAACTCAACTTCACGTTCATCACGACATCTACAAAGAAAAACTACGTAACTATCACTTAACACTAAAACATGCAAGGGAGGCTTTCTTTGCAGATGTCATAAACAAAAACATCAACAATGCTGGAACTTTATTTGCAACAGTTGACAGGCTCACAAACCCTCCTGTGACGTTACCACCTGAACTCCAATCTAATGTTGTCTGTAACAAGTTTTCCAGCTTCTTTTCAGAGAAAATTCAAAAAATCAAAGGATTAATTTGCACGTCAACTCCAAAGCCAGAACCACTGCTGTACCAAAACAAAACAAATACAGAAAAAATGACCCATTTTCAACTACTTAATTATAAAACCCTAGAAAAATTATAAGTCAATTAAGTTCAAGCTCCTGCTGTCTGGATGTCCTTCCCACACATTTCTTTAAGAAAGTCCTGCCTGTTATTGCTACTGATCTGATCCAAATCGTAAACTCATCGCTTACATCAGGTGTTTTCCCCAGGCCTTGAAAACAGCAGTCATCAAACCACTGTTAAAAAAGAACAACCTGGACAAATCACTATTGCAGAATTACAGGCCAATCTCAAACCTCCCATTCATCAGCAAAGTTATTGAAAAAACTGTGTGTAAACAATTAAATAGTTTCCTCATGATGACCAACTGCTTTGACTCTTTCCAATCTGGTTTTCGTGCTCACCACAGCACAGAGACTGCCCTCGTAAAAGTATTCAATGATATCCATATAAATACGGACTGTGGGAGAACCACGGTACTGGTTCTGTTGGACCTCAGTGCAGCTTTTGACACTGTCGACCATGACGTATTACTGAATCGACTTGAAAGTTGGGTCGGACTCTCCGGTTCGGTGCTCGACTGGCTTGAATCCTACATAAAGAACAGGGATTTATTTGTTTCAATTGAAAACTTCTTATCAAAGAGGTCAAAGGTCACATGTGGGGTACCCCAAGGTTCAATCTTAGGTCCCCTCTTATTTAATATTTATATTCTCCCACTAGCTCAGGTCATAACAGGAAATAATTAGCTACCACAACTATGCGGATGACACACAGCTCTACATTACGATGTCACCAGGTGACCTTTGACCCCATCCAATCATTGAATAAATGTTTGAACAGATAAATGTGTGGATGTGCCAAAACTTTCTCCAGCTGAACAAAAACAAAACTGAAGTCATTATTTTTGGACCTAAAGAGGAACGATCTAAAGTCAATGCACAGCTTCAGTTATTACAACTAAAAACTAGCGATCAGGCCCGAAACCTGGGAGTAGTGATGGACTCGGACTTGAACATCCAGAGCCACATAAAGACAATTACAAAGTCAGCCTTCTATCACCTGAAGAACATCTCCAGGATTAGAGGACTAATGTCTCAGCCAGATCTAGAGAAACTCATTCATGTGTTTATCTTTAGTCGCATTGATTATTGTAACAGCATCTTCACAGGCCTGTCCAACAAATCAATCAAACAGCTGCAGCTGATCCAGAACGCTGCTGCTCGCGTTCTCACTAAAACCAGGAAGATAGAGCACATAACACCAGTTTTAAAGTCCCTCCACTGGCTCCCTGTAGCTCAAAGAATATATTTTAAATTACTGTTGTTAGTTTATAAATCACTGAACGGTTTAGCACCACAATACATCAAAGATCTGCTGTTGTTGTATCAACCTTCCAGACCTCTCAGGTCTTCTGGTTCTGGTCTGCTCTGCATCCCCAGAACCAGAACCAAGAGAGGAGAAGCAGCTTTCAGCATCTATGCACCAAAACTTTGGAACAAACTTCCAGAAAACTGTAAAACAACAGAAACCCTGACTTCTTTTAAATCGCAATTAAAAACACATCTGTTTAGAATTGTTTTTGAAATGTAATATGTAACAAAGAATAAGAATGTTCAATACACTCCAGCCTCATGACACGAGGAAGTCTGGAGTCAAACACCCAGTGGCCCCCAAACACGAAGCCCAGTAGTGCCCCAATAGTGTGTCTCTCATCTCCAACAACAACGAATCCCTTCATAATCTCTAATTCTCCCTCCTTCTCTGGTGCTGAATCTGCTCCAGTGGTTGAAGTTTGTGTGGTTAACATATCAGCCCTGTTGACAAATGTTTTGTGTCTACTTTGGCGTCCTTTAGTGTTTGCTCTCACAGTTCTTCTGGACCCGCTCCACCACGTATCCCCCCTGATCTACTGAAGTGACAAAATTTATACTCAAATGAGAATGGAGGGGTGGGTCAAGGAGGACTGAGAGATTTCAGCCCAATGTCCTTCAAGAAAATCAACCAGTGTTGAACATGTGTAGGTCAATACTGACACTGTCCATTCATGTCTGGACATATTTCTGAATATCAACAGAAAAGCACATCATGTGGAGTTATTTGATCTAAATCATCTTTGAAGAATGACACTAACATTAAAATTAAACAGTGACTTCCTCTTTCATGTTGACAGACTCCACTTGTTAATCAGTAACGAGGTTGTATTTCAAAATAATAGTTGTGAAATTTGGCTAAATTATTTGATGTATTCTTCAAAATAATCTTTATTAATATAAAGTCTTTTTCTCCTGACATTTATTGCTATATAAGTTCTGTTGCTCTTGACAGCCAGTAGTTACCGTAGCAACTAGTAACAGTAGGCTCGTCCCCTTTTGCCATCTTTAACTCTGGTATGTATTAAGATCAGCTCTGTGCTTTCTTTACAGTACTATATTTAACATGTATGTTAGACTAATTTAATATTATGCAGTGTTTAATGTTTTAATGATTTGTATATATTTTTGCTGTTTCATAATTAATATTTCACATTTAAGCTATCTCTGAGTTTACAACTGTTAACTGATGTCAACTGTTTATTAGGAACAATTGCTCTGTAGTTTGTTTGGGGTTATTTATTGTATTTTTATTTAATGTATAGGGCCTGGACTGATGTTAACCACCAGCTTGATCTTCTCTCTTGTTATCTCTGCTTCAACTTTTGATAAAAGGTAACATGTCAGTTCTCAGTCGTGTGTTAGTTTTTAATATAAAGTGTGTGTAATCTCCATCTAGTAAAATTACATATCTTCATTTATAGAGAAGAAAAGATTAGCTATGTAGATGTTTAATGTAAATTTATTTTAAATACCACTACACTATGACAGTCAGCCTGTTCCTTTTTATTGTCCTTAACTTTGTGGCACAAACTGCTGGTCTGATGTCTGACTTTTACATATGATAAACATTCAACCAGCTTGAATGTGTGTTGTGAAGTCAACCTACGACGAACAGAGAAAGGTTACATATCCATCACATTTACTTTGAATCATAGAAAGTGGTGGTCTGACCTGCTGTTGATCCACTAAAATCCATTCAGTTTTTTATCTAAACTGGTTCTGATTTAGCTGCAGGTTTCTTTTGGTAAGTTTGTGTTGATTTGATTTATCGTTATGTATGTTTTGACTTTTATTATATTACAGAATCATTTTAATACTATGAAATAATCATGACATATTTTTCAAAATGTTTAAATTCTGCCTTTTAATCAACTGAGTTCTGATTTGATCAAGAGACAGCTTTAAAAATATTAATCTCATCATCAGCTTGTTCCAGTCAGAGAGATGAAGAAGCTCTGTCACCTGTATAACAACATCCTGATAGTCGGCATTTTACTGATTGTCTTCGGTCCTCCAGTGAGTTTGTTTGTTTAGTCCCTTTTATTTGGAGACGTCACATAAATCACTTATAGTCTGAAATATTTTATTCTGATATGGTTGAAAGTATTCAGACGTAACATGAAGCTTCATGTTCGATGGTCAATGTAACAGGATGATATCTCTCCACTTTATTTTTATTATTCATCTATTTTACAGGTGCTTTGGGTGCATCGGGTCTTTGTGGTTATTCGTATTCACCAATTGATTTGGAAGGACTGGCTGGATCTTGTTTGGATGTCCAATGTGAATTTGAGCCCTTTCCAGGATTTAACAGCAGCAAACCCATTTACGCAATATGGATGAAATTTTTTCTGAATTTGACAACAAATCAAGTTTTTTTTAACAGCAGTGGTTCAATTAACACCTATCAAATGGAAATAACTGGAGATTTGACAAGTAACAACTGCAGCACTCGGATTTTTGATTTAACAGCAACTCATACAGATGAGTACATCTTAAGAATTGAGAACGGGGGAATAAAAAAGACATTTTGTGAAAATGTTGTGATGGTAACAGTTGTAGGTAAGAGAGCTTTTCTGTCTTTTCTATGTAACATACACTCACCAGCCACTTTATTAGGTACGCCTTGCTAGTTCTGTCTTGGGAACCCTTTTGCCTTCAGAACTGCCTTTATCCAAGGTAGCATAGATTCAACAAGGTACTGGAAACATTCCTCAGAGAGTGTGGTCCATGTTGACATTGTAGCATCATGCAGTTGCTGTAGATTTGTCGGCTGCACATCTATAATGTGAATCTCCCGTTCCACCACATCTCAAAGGTGATCTATTGGACTGAGATCTGACTGTGGAGGCCATTTGAGTACCGTGCACTGATTGTCGTGTTCAGGAAACCAGTGTGACATGACTCGCGCTTTATGACATGCTGCATTATCCTGCTGGAAGTAGCCATCAGAAAATGTGTACACTGTGGTCATAAAGTTTGCTGTTGTTAGCTGACAGCAGAGGCACACGGTGTGGTTTTCTTCTGCTGTATCGCAGCCGCCTCCAGGTTCGATGTGCGTTCAGATATGCTCTTCTTTAAACCTCTATTGTAACAAAGGGTTCTTTGAGTCACTGTTGCCATTCTATCAACTTGAACCAGTCTGTCCATTCTCCTCTGACCTCTGGCACCAACAACCATGCCACGTTCGATGTCACGTAAATCACCTATGTTCCCCATTCTGATATTCGCTTGGAACTGCGGCAGATCATCTTGGCTATGTCTACATGCCTACAAGCATGTGATTATTAACTGATTGGACTTTTGTGTTAATGAGCAGTTGGACAGGTGAACCTGAAAAAGTGGCCGGTGAGTCTATTTTAGCTTAGTTATGTTGTAAAATGATGAATTTGCAAATGTAACCAGATATCACAAATTAGAAATAAGTGTTAGGGAGATGTTTTTTTCAATGCATTTTCAATTTACTAAGGTTATTTATTTAAATTAAGGTTTGCAGATTATCTTGTTTATTCCCAGAACAAAATTTAGGAGCCGAAGTCATATAAGCATTACAATTTAGAGAATTGTTAATATTGAGTACAGTCTCAGCCAACTGTAATTTACACTATGTCAGCATTGTATTCTTTGACACCCTGGGTGAATCACCTTTCCGGGGAGATCATCCACTACATTCACATAAACACATTAGTCATCCCCAGCACAAAGCTTGGCACCATAATACACTCTCTCTTTTCTGATGATTCCCTAATATTTACTGAAAGGAGCCGTTCCCATATACTTTTTTTATTTACCTTTACTAAAGTTCATCATTGACAATTTACAACAACGTCACTTAATCATTCGAGGCGCCATGATGGTCGTTTGAAGTGAACTTGTTTTCCCAAGTTGCTTTTTCCAGTTTATTCATGGCTTCTTCTTGTTCCAGTCAAGCTAATTTGACTGTAATCGTAACACATCTTCCTCCTTGTACTGGAGCAGCCTTAAAAACGAACAAAAGAGTTTTTAACCACACATGTTAGGCTACAGGACTGTGCAGCACTGTCTCCATGGTTATTGACGGTTAAACGCGTACCTTCTCCATAATGCGATTTTTGACATATTTCTAATCATACTTACTTATAAAGAGTATGAATGTTAGTTTTCTTACCTTGTAAAAAGTGTTCACTGCAAATCCACAGTTACACTGAGGGATGACAGTCATTATGATTGACGGCTGCTGTCCAGCACCGCCGTATCTTTCCTCACTACAAGTTATAAGATAAAGCGGCAAGTTGGCTTTGCTTCCTTGCCTGTTTGTGCAGCCGACCACACAGCATCCTGTGACCATTTTTAAAGTGACATCAACCAAATAGAAGGATATAAGGTTATAGATGTCTATTTTCATCTGGCTTTAAAGGAGCACATTGGTTGTTTTGACTTCTGCCATGGCGGAGTTTGCATCAGTCTGTCTCAAGTAAAGGGTCAATAAAGGAAATGTTTCATGGAATTAAAAGCTTGTTGATGAGTAAAATGGTGTTGTAGTTGTAGGTATAATGTCCAAGTAATCAATACTGTATTTTGTGTTGTGTTTCACTTTATGACATGTCTCGTTTGAAACCACAGAAACTCCTTGGGCTCCCACCATTGCATTTGACAGTACTCTGTATGAGCGTCAGACTATAAATTTATCCTGCGCAGCTTATACTCCCTGTTTAATCTCACCTCCTGAAATCATCTGGAATCTCAACAACTACACTCTCAGAGAAGTATTCGAGAAATACGATGGAACCCTTTTCACTAGAATCAACAAAACCATCAAACTTACACACCACCATGATGGATTAAATATCAGCTGTTCTGCCAGATATCCTGTGAAAGGAGGATTCAAACAGTCACCAGAGTCAGTAAGGACTCTCGATGTTGCATGTAAGTGAGCATATCAGCACAGTATAATTCATGTTTATTCCATTTACTTTATCAATTTACCATAAAACAGGTTGTCATATTTAAAAATAGGCAACGCAACCCTCTTTGTAGCTGGATGTGCACCTTCCATAATCACAGACAGCAGGCCTACAGTATGCATGGGGAGATCATCTCTGTCAGAAACTACTTATAAACGCTATAATTGTCATCTGTATTTTTATCTATCAGTGATGGGTCGGTTGCAAGTATTTCGTGTCTTGAAGTCGGCTCTTCGAAGTGTACAATTGGAGCTGACTCCTCACTGAGAGGCATTCTTAATAATAAGGGAAGGCTACAAAGACAGCAGCTTTTTGAATACTCCACAGGAGATGTTGAGACAGAGTGAGAAAGAGAGAGAGAGAGACATCTCCTGACCTTTTTTCCTTTGGCTGCTGCACCGTCACACTTTAAGTGGCTCGCTCGACTCACAGCACAACTTTATTTTGATTTGCACTGCAGCTTTGTGGCGATCACGTGTGAGATATAATATAATGTTTTGAGAAAATAACACAATATGATAACAGAGCGGGACAGACAGGACAGTCAGTAGACAGTGGTGAAGTTGAGAGTGTGTTGCAAAAACCCACAAATATAGCTGATACCAATAAGCAAAGCAGCATCTGGCTGAAAATTTAAAAAATATTATGTACTAATACATTATTGTTGTGGGTCTGTTCAGTAAATTTGTTTACTGTATTATTTTTTTATTTTGTTTTCATTGAAAGTTTGATTGAATTATTTTTGCGGAAGTCAGATTGTCTGTTGTCATGATAGAACAAATATATAAATTTAAGGAAGTGGGAAGCTTCTTATACAGGGAACACTTAATGCAAAAGGATTTGTCACATAAAACATTCCTTTTTGCCAAGTTATTTTACTATGTGGGGCTGCAGAGGATGACAAATTAAGAGACGTTTGGCAGCTGAAAGAGCCGGCTCATCTTTGTCAGCTTTCCCTTAAAAAAAAAAAAAAAAAAAAGCTAAGTTAATTTTTTATAATGAACTAATTTATACACATTAATTTAAGATTGAACTATGATCTTTTAAAAATTGTGTAATTTTTATGCTTTTTTTCCCATGCAAATTATTCTCTGTTAAAGTAGAAAAGAAAACAGAACTGGGAATATTACTGGTCAACTTAATGACATTTATTTGGGCATGTATTGAATGTTTCATGGTAATTGAAAAAATAAAGAATTTAAGCATCTTTTGTTGATTGAAGGAAAAAAAGCTATACAATATTTCAGATTTTAAAGCACTGCAGTAGCCTTAATGTCTAACCTACATAATATTAATGTTGATTAAAAGATTTTTGAATGTTCTTTCAAGTACATTTTTAGTAACATACCCACACAAAGTAAATGTGTCATCTAATTTTCCTCAGATACTCCTAAAGAAGCCTTTTTAATCGTCAGTCCTTCGAGTTTTGTGACAAAAGGTACCAGGGTGACGCTAAGATGCCTCAGCAAAGAGAATCCTCGCAGGACGGACGTCTATTGGTACCAGACCGGCGAGGAAGATCTCATTATCTTAGAGTTCGAGGATGATAGCAGCTTCATTGCTACTGAACGACACGGCTATGTTTGTGGGGTTGGAAATAATATAGGTTTTGTGCTATCGAACACCACCTGCGTTGACATCATTGGTAATGCATGTTTTTTCAAAAGATCATTGCATTTCTATTCATAATAAACATAAATATATATGTGTGTATAGATCGTGTCTTATCTTGACACTGGTTAGACAGAATGATTACAGTTGTGTCTTAGGAAGGCCACATTGAAAGACATCTCAAAGTCTTTCAATGTGCTGTTTGCTTAGTTGGGGCTCTCAGAACCAGTCAGTATCTGGTGTGACCACTATTTCACTCTCACAGTGCAACATATCTCCGTCACATAGAGTTGATCAGCTTTTTGGTTGTGTCTTGCAGAGTGATGGTCCATTCCTTTAAAATTGGGCCAACATTCAATGGCTGTAAGAAGTTAATGAATATTTTCAGGAACTGAAACATGCTATTGTATGCGCTGATCCAGAGCATCCCAACCTTGTTCAATGGATGACATGTTTAGTGAATAAGCTGGCCAAGCACAAACAGGGGTGTTTTATTGTGGTCTTCCCAAGGCACTTCTGAGCAGTAATCATTCTGTCGAGTCAGGATCTTGATATGCAACACTCTCAAGGCAGGAGGGATTATGTACTGTATTAAAAGGAGAACTGTTCACTGCCACAGATTGAGATGGATGAATCAACAAAGAGAGAAATGATTATACTGAGAATGTTATAGGTCTTTTGATTCAGCTCATGAAAATGGGAGCAACACAAAAGTGTTGTGTTTATTAAACACACAACAATCGTGTTTTCCTACATTTATAAATCTAAGAGACACACATAGAACATCAATTAAATGTGTGTCTAATGTTATGTTTCAGATATTCCTTTGACTCCCACTATTAATATCCCTGTTGGTGATCTGAATGTGGGCCAATCTGTCACTATAACCTGCTCAGCTTCAACTCCGTGTGCACTCTCACCTCCTGAACTCACCTGGAATCTCCAACAAGACTCTATAAGACAAACAGAGGAAACCACAAAGGGAAACTTTACCAGTAAAATCCAGGAGAACATCACTGTGTTGGAGACACATGATGGATACAACATCAAATGTTCTTCCAGACATCCTGCGGCTAGAGAAAGCAACATAGCTGAGACAGAAGTGACTCTCAGTGTTTTATGTAAGTAATGCTGTCAGCAAGTCATGGTTCAGCTGGTTGTGGTCAATAAACCAGTTCATGTGTTTCATTTTGCTTAGATGCTCCTAGAAACACCTCAGCATCCATCAGTCCATCAGGTTTGGTATCAAAAGGTAGCAGGGTGGAGCTGAGCTGCTCCAGCAGAGCCAAAACCCCCCACATTCAGGTGGATAAAGAAGGGCACAGGTGGAGCCATTAAAGTATCTGAGAAGAAGGTTTACAGCTTCATTGCTTCTGAGCGAGGAGATTATTACTGTGAGGTCACAAATAAGCTTGGAAGTGAGAGATCGACAAGCATCTGTGTTGACCTAATAGGTAATGCTTATTGTTTTTTAAACATATCATTACATTTCTATTCATAATAAACATATGCTATATATACATATATATATATATATATATATATATATATATATATATATTATATATATATATATATATATATATATATATATAATATTAATATATATATATATATATCCCTTTGGGGGTGTTTCCCACTTTTATCTCGGGGTTTCCAGTCTATAATCTGAACAGATGTTTCTGTACACTATGCCTGCCACTTGGTTATGTCGTTCCATGTACGCTTTCCCTGCCAGTATCTTGCACCCTGCTGTTATGTGCTGGACTGTCTCAGGGGCCTCCTTGCACAACCTACACCTTGGGTCTTGTCGGGTGTGGTAGATCTGGGCCTCTATTGCTCTGGTGTTTAGGGCCTGTTCCTGGGCGGCCAGGATGAGGGCCTCTGTGCTGTCCTTGAGTCCAGCTTTTTCCAGCCATTGGTAGGATTTACTGATATCAGCCACTTCGGTTATTTGCTGGTGGAACATCCCATGTAGAGGCTTGTCCTCCCATGATGGTATCTCTGGCACCTAACCTGCGTCCCTGTTGTCTGAGACATTCACTGAGCACATTGTCTGTTGAGGCTTTGTCTCTGATGTATCTATGGATCTTAGAGGTTTCGTCCTGGACAGTGGTTCTCACACTCACTAGTTCTCTGCCTCCTTCCTTGCGGCTCGTGTTCAGTCTCAGGGTGCTGGATTTGGGATGGAACCCTCCATGCATGGTTAGTAGTTTTCGAGTCTTAACATCCATGGCCTTTATCTCCTCCTTTGACCAGCTAATTATTTCAGCAGGGTATCTGATTACTGGCAAGCATAGCTGTTTATCTCATGGATTTTGTTCTTGCCATTGAGCTGTTTCTCAGGACTTGCCTTATTCCTTGGCGTTATTTAGCTGTGGCTCCCTTTCTTGTGACCTCATCAAAGGTGCCATTTGCTTGTGGTATTCCCAGCAGTAACTGTCCTCTATGTCTGCTATTGTTCCTTCTGAGAGTGAGGACCCTTCTGTGTGGATGACCTTCCCCCTCTTTGCGAAAATCCGACCACACTTCTCTTGTCCGAATGACATCCAATGTCCGTGATGTATTCCTGGTGGATCTACATTTCTGATCCACCAGGATCCCCCACACCTGACTTTTTGCCTCAGCAACCACCTGAGCCACATGCCACTTCACCCGCCGGTACCTATCATCTGCTTTTGGAGTTCCAGAGGCCAAAAAAGGCCCGATAGGACACCTTCTTCAGCCTTACAGCATCCCTCATCAAAGGTGTCCACCAACGGGTTCGAGGGTTGCCGCTGTGACAGGCACCGACACCTTGCGGCGACAGCTCTGGTGAGCTGCTTCAACAATGGAGGCACGGAACATGGTCCACTCTGACTCAATGTCCTCCACTTCCCCGGGAATGTGTTCGAAGCTCTCCCAGAGATGGAAGTTAAAGCTCCGTGTCACAGGGGATTCCGCCAGACATTCCCAGCAGACCCTCACAACACGTTTGGGCCTGTCAGGTCTGACCGGTATTCTTCCCCACCAGTGGAGCCAACTCACCACCAGGTAGTGGTCAGTGGACAGCTCCGCGCCTTTCTTCACCCGAGTGTCCAAGACATACGGCCGCAGATCCAATGAAACTATGACAAAGTTGATCATCGAACCGCAGCCCAGTGTGTCCTGGTGCCAAGTGCATATATGGACACCCTCTTGCCTGAACATGGTATTAGTCATGGACAATTCATGACGAGTACAGAAGTCCAACAACAGAACACCACTCGAGTTCAGATCAGAGGGAGCACTCCTCCCAACCACGTCCCTCAAGGTCTCACTGTTATTGTCCACGTGCGCGTTGAAGTCCCCCAGCAGAACGAGGGAGTCCCCAGGAGGGCACTCTCCAGTACCCCTTCTAAGGATTCCCAGAAATGTGGGTAATCTGAACTGTTGTTCCGCCCGTAAGCACAAACAACTGTCAGAACTGGTCCCCCCACCTGTAGGCGGAGGGAAGCTACTCTCTCTTCGCCCGGGGTAAACCCCAACATATAGATGCCGAGATAGGGAGCAACAAGTCTGCCCACTCCTGCCCGATACCTCTCACCACGGGCAACTCAAGAGTGGAAGTGCGTCAGCCCCTCTCAAGGAGACTAGTTCCAGAACTAGAGGCATGTGTCAAGGTGCGACCGACTATTTCCAGCCTCTCTGCCTCACAAACTAGCTCCAGCTTCTTACCCACAAGAGAGGTGACATTCCACATCCCATGAGCAAGCTTCTGCAACAGAGGATTGTACCACCAGAACCCCTTCCTCGGCCGCCACCAATCTCACATCACAACTGAGCCCTTTGGACCCTCTCACAGGCGGTGCGCACATGGGAGAGGGGACCCATGTCTCCTCTTCTGGCTGAGCCAAGCAGAGCTCCATGGGTAAAAGCCCGGCCACCAGGTGCTCGCCATAGTGCCCCACCTGCAGACCTGGCTCCAGAGTTGTGGCGCGGGCGCGGTGACCCGCGCCTGGGCAAGGGAACACTGGATCCAAAGTGCTTGCTCGTCATCAGGGTCTTCGGGTTGCACTTTGTTGCAATTTCTTTGGTCCCACACCTAGGACCTGTCTGCCTAGGGTGACTCTACCAGGGGAATAAAGTCCCAAAAAGCATAGCTCCTAGGATCAATGGGGCACTGAAACACCTCCACCACAATACAGCTGTGTCTTAGGAAGGCCACATTGAAAGACATCTCAAGATCTTTCAATGTGCCGTTTGCTTAGTTGGGGCTCTCAGAACCAATCAGTATCTGGTGTGACCACTATTTCACTCTCACAGTGCAACACATCTCCGTCATATTGAGTTGATCAGCTTGTTGGTTGTGGCTTGCAGAGTGATGGTCCATTCCTTTGAAATTGGACCAACATTCAATGGCTGTAAGAAGTTAATGAATATTTTCAGGAACTGAAACATGCTATTGTATGCACTGATCCAGAGCATCCCAACCTTGTTCAATGGATGACATGTTTAGTGAATAAGCTGGCCAAGCACAAACAGGGGTGTTTTATTGTGGTCTTCCCAAGGTACTTCTGAGCAGTAATCATTCTGTCAAGTCAGGATCTTGATATGCAACACCCTCAAGGCAGGAGGGATTATGTACTGTATTAAAAGGAGAACTGTTCACTGCCACAGATTGAGATGAATGAATGAACAAAGAGAGAAATGATTATACTGAGAATGTTATAGGTCTTTTGATTCAGCTCATGAAAATGGGAGCAACACAAAAGTGTTGTGTTTATATTTTCCTTCAGTAAATTTGTTTTCCTTATGCATTTATACAACACAATTATGTTTTTCTACATGCACAAATCTGTGAGACACACATAGAACATCTATTAAATGTGTGTTTAATGTTACGTTTCAGATATTCCTTTGACTCCCACTATTAATATCCCTGTTGGTGATCTGAATGTGGGCCAATCTGTCACTATAACCTGCTCAGCTTCAACTCTGTGTGCACTCTCACCTCCTGAACTCACCTGGAATCTCCAAAAAGACTCTATAAGACAAACAGAGGAAACCACAAAGGGAACCTTTACCAGTAAAATCCAGAAGGAAATCACTCTGTTGGAGACACATGATGGATACAACATCAAATGTTCTTCCAGACATCCTGCGGCTAGAGAAAGCAAACATAGCTGAGACAGAAGTGACTCTCAGTGTTGTATGTAAGTGATCCTGTCAGCAGGTCATGATCAATAACTGTTTCTGATCAATAAAGTTCATGTGTGTCATTTTCCTCAGATGCTCCTAAAGACACCTCAGCATCCATCAGTCCATCAGGTTTGGTATCAAAAGGTAGCAGGGTGGAGCTGAGCTGCTCCAGCAGAGCCAGACCTCCACCCACATTCAGGTGGATGAAGAAGGGCACAGGTGGAGCCATTAAATTATCTGAGAAGAAGGTTTACAGCTTCATTGCTTCTGAGCGAGGAGATTATTACTGTGAGGTCACAAATAAGCTTGGAAGTGAGAGATCGACAAGCATCTGTGTTGACCTAATAGGTAATGCTTATTGTTTTGTTAAAATAAAATCATTGCATTTCTACTCATAATAAACATATGCTATATATATATATATATATATATATATATATATATATATATATATATATATATATATATATATATATATATATATATATATATATATATATATCCCTTTGGGGGTGTTTCCCACTTTTATCTCGGGGTTTCCAGTCTATAATCTGAACAGATGTTTCTGTACACTATGCCTGCCACTTGGTTATGTCGTTCCATGTACGCTTTCCCTGCCAGTATCTTGCACCCTGGCAGGTGTGCTGGACTGTCTCAGGGCCTCCTTGCACAACCTACACCTTGGGTCTTGTCGGGTGTGGTAGATGTTTAGGGCCTGTTCCTGGGCGGCCAGGATGAGGGCCTCTGTGCTGTCCTTGAGTCCAGCTTTTTCCAGCCATTGGTAGGATTTACTGATATCAGCCACTTCGGTTATTTGCTGGTGGAACATCCCATGTAGAGGCTTGTCCTCCCATGATGGTATCTCTGGCACCTTAACCTGCGTTCCCTGTTGTCTGAGACATTCACTGAGCACATTGTCTGTTGAGGCTTTGTCTCTGATGTATCTATGGATCTTAGAGGTTTCGTCCTGGACAGTGGTTCTCTCACTAGTTCTGCCTCCTTCCTTGCGGCTCGTGTTCAGTCTCAGGGTGCTGGATTTGGGATGGAACCCTCCATGCATGGTTAGTAGTTTTCGAGTCTTAACATCCATGGCCTTTATCTCCTCCTTTGACCAGCTAATTATTTCAGCAGGGTATCTGATTACTGGCAAGGCATAGCTGTTTATCTCATGGATTTTGTTCTTGCCATTGAGCTGGTTTCTCAGGACTTGCCTTATTCCTTGGAGTTATTTAGCTGTGGCTCCCTTTCTTGTGACCTCATCAAGGTTGCCATTTGCTTGTGGTATTCCCAGGTACTTGTAACTGTCCTCTGTGTCTGCTATTGTTCCTTCTGGGAGTGAGACCACTTCTGTGCAGATGACCTTCCCCCTCTTTGCGAAAATCCGACCACACTTCTCTTGTCCGAATGACATCCCAATGTCCGTGATGTATTTCCTGGTGGATCTACATTTCTGATCCACCAGGATCCCCCACACCTGACTTTTTGCCTCAGCAACCACCTGAGCCACATGCCACTTCACCCGCCGGTACCTATCAGCTGCTTTTGGAGTCCCAGAGGCCAAAAAGGCCCGATAGGACACCTTCTTCAGCCTTACAGCATCCCTCATCAAAGGTGTCCACCAACGGGTTCGAGGGTTGCCGCCGTGACAGGCACCGACAACCTTGCGGCGACAGCTCTGGTGAGCTGCTTCAACAATGGAGGCACGGAACATGGTCCACTCTGACTCAATGTCCTCCACTTCCCCGGGAATGTGTTCGAAGCTCTCCCAGAGATGGAAGTTAAAGCTCCGTGTCACAGGGGATTCCGCCAGACATTCCCAGCAGACCCTCACAACACGTTTGGGCCTGCCAGGTCTGACCGGTATTCTTCCCCACCAGTGGAGCCAACTCACCACCAGGTAGTGGTCAGTGGACAGCTCCGCGCCTCTCTTCACCCGAGTGTCCAAGACATACGGCCGCAGATCCAATGAAACTATGACAAAGTTGATCATCGAACCGCAGCCCATTGTGTCCTGGTGCCAAGTGCATATATGGACACCCTCTTGCCTGAACATGGTATTAGTCATGGACAATTCATGACGAGTACAGAAGTCCAACAACAGAACACCACTCGAGTTCAGATCAGAGGGAGCACTCCTCCCAACCACGTCCCTCAAGGTCTCACTGTTATTGTCCACGTGCGCGTTGAAGTCCCCCAGCAGAACGAGGGAGTCCCCAGGAGGGGCACTCTCCAGTACCCCTTCTAAGGATTCCCAGAAATGTGGGTAATCTGAACTGTTGTTCCGCCCGTAAGCACAAACAACTGTCAGAACTGGTCCCCCCACCTGTAGGCGGAGGAAAGCTACTCTCTCTTCCCCTGGGGTAAACCCCAACATATAGATGACGAGATAGGGAGCAACAAGTCTGCCCACTCCTGCCCGATCCCTCTCACCACGGGCAACTCAAGAGTGGAAGTGCGTCCAGCCCCTCTCAAGGAGACTAGTTCCAGAACTAGAGGCATGTGTCAAGGTGCGACCGACTATTTCCAGCCTCTCTGCCTCACAAACTAGCTCCAGCTTCTTACCTACAAGAGAGGTGACATTCCACGTCCCATGAGCAATCTTCTGCAACAGAGGATTGTACCACCAGGCCCCCTTCCTCGGCCGCCACCAATCTCACATCACAACTGAGCCCTTTGGACCCTCTCACAGGCGGTGCGCACATGGGAGAGGGGACCCATGTCTCCTCTTCTGGCTGAGCCCAGCAGAGCTCCATGGGTAAAAGCCCGCCCACCAAGTGCTCGCCATAGTGCCCCACCTGCAGACCTGGCTCCAGAGTGGGGTCCCGGTGACCAGCGCCTGGGCAAGGGAACACTGGATCCATAGTGCTTGCTCGTCATCAGGGTCTTCGGGTTGCACTTTGTTGCAATTTCTTTGGTCCCACACCTAGGACTTGTCTGCCTAGGGTGACTCTACCAGGGGAATAAAGTCCCAAACAGCATAGCTCCTAGGATCAATGGGGCACTGAAACACCTCCACCACAATACAGCTGTGTCTTAGGAAGGCCACATTGAAAGACATCTCAAGATCTTTCAATGTGCCGTTTGCTTAGTTGGGGCTCTCAGAACCAGTCAGTATCTGGTGTGACCACTATTTCACTCTCACAGTGCAACACATCTCCGTCACATAGAGTTGATCAGCTTTTTGGTTGTGGCTTGCAGAGTGATGGTCCATTCCTTTAAAATTGGACCAACATTCAATGGCTGTAAGAAGTTAATGAATATTTTCAGGAACTGAAACATGCTATTGTATGCGCTGATCCAGAGCATCCCAACCTTGTTCAATGGATGACATGTTTAGTGAATAAGCTGGCCAAGCACAAACAGGGGTGTTTTATTGTGGTCTTCCCAAGGCACTTCTGAGCAGTAATCATTCTGTCGAGTCAGGATCTTGATATGCAACACCCTCAAGGCAGGAGGGATTATGTACTGTATTAAAAGGAGAACTGTTCACTGCCACAGATTGAGATGGATGAATGAACAAAGAGAGAAATGATTATACTGAGAATGTTATAGGTCTTTTGATTCAGCTCATGAAAATGGGAGCAACACAAAAGTGTTGTGTTTATTTTTTCCTTCAGTAAATCTGTTTTCCAAATGCATTTATTAAACACAATCATGTTTTTCTACATGCACAAATCTGTGAGACACACATAGAACATCTATTAAATGTGTGTTTAATGTTACGTTTCAGATATTCCTTTGACTCCCACTATTAATATCCCTGTTGGTGATCTGAATGTGGGCCAATCTGTCACTATAACCTGCTCAGCTTCAACTCCTTGTGCACTCTCACCTCCTGAACTCACCTGGAATCTCCAAAAAGACTCTATAAGACAAACAGAGGAAACCACAAAGGGAACCTTTACCAGTAAAATCCAGAAGGAAATCACTCTGTTGGAGACACATGATGGATACAACATCAAATGTTCTTCGAGACATCCTGCGGCTAGAGAAAGCAACATAGCTGAGACAGAAGTGACTCTCAGTGTTGTATGTAAGTGATCCTGTCAGCAGGTCATGATCAATAACTGTTTCTGATCAATAAAGTTAATGTGTGTCATTTTCCTCAGATGCTCCTAAAGACACCTCAGCATCCATCAGTCCATCAGGTTTGGTATCAAAAGGTAGCAGGGTGGAGCTGAGCTGCTCCAGCAGAGCCAAACCTCCACCCACATTCAGGTGGATGAAGAAGGGCACAGGTGGAGCCATTAAATTATCTGAGAAGAAGGTTTACAGCTTCATTGCTTCTGAGCGAGGAGATTATTACTGTGAGGTCACAAATAAGCTTGGAAGTGAGAGATCGACAAGCATCTGTGTTGACCTAATAGGTAATGCTTATTGTTTTGTTAAAAAAAATCATTGCATTTCTATTCATAATAAACATAAATATATATGTGTGTATAGATCGTGTCTTATCTTGACACTGGTTAGACAGAATGATTACAGCTGTGTCTTAGGAAGGCCACATTGAAAGACATCTCAAGATCTTTCAATGTGCTGTTTGCTTAGTTGGGGCTCTCAGAACCAGTCAGTATCTGGTGTGACCACTATTTCACTCTCACAGTGCAACATATCTCCGTCACATAGAGTTGATCAGCTTTTTGGTTGTGGCTTGCAGAGTGATGGTCCATTCCTTTAAAATTGGGCCAACATTCAATGGCTGTAAGAAGTTAATGAATATTTTCAGGAACTGAAACATGCTATTGTATGCGCTGATCCAGAGCATTCCAACCTTGTTCAATGGATGACATGTTTAGTGAATAAGCTGGCCAAGCACAAACAGGGGTATTTTATTGTGGTCTTCCCAAGGCACTTCTGAGCAGTAATCATTCTGTCGAGTCAGGATCTTGATATGCAACACCCTCAAGGCAGGAGGGATTATGTACTGTATTAAAAGGAGAACTGTTCACTGCCACAGATTGAGATGGATGAATGAACAAAGAGAGAAATGATTATACTGAGAATGTTATAGGTCTTTTGATTCAGCTCATGAAAATGGGAGCAACACAAAAGTGTTGTGTTTATATTTTCCTTCAGTAAATCTTTGTTTTCCAAATGCATTTATTAAACACAATTATGTTTAATAATCTGTGAGACACACATAGAACATCAATTAAATGTGTGTTTAATGTTACGTTTCAGATATTCCTTTGACTCCCACTATTAATATCCCTGTTGGTGATCTGAATGTGGGCCAATCTGTCACTATAACCTGCTCAGCTTCAACTCCGTGTGCACTCTCACCTCCTGAACTCACCTGGAATCTCCAACAAGACTCTATAAGACAAACAAAGGAAACCACAAAGGGAACCTTTACCAGTAAAATCCAGGCGAACATCACTGTGTTGGAGACACATGATGGATACAACATTAGCTGTTCTTCCAGACATCCTGCGGCTAGAGAAAGCAACATAGCTGAGACAGAAGTGACTCTCAGTGTTGCATGTAAGTGATCCTGTCAGCAGGTCATGATCAATAACTGTTGCTGATCAATAAAGTTCATGTGTGTCATTTTCCTCAGATGCTCCTAAAGACACCTCAGCATCCATCAGTCCATCAGGTTTGGTATCAAAAGGTAGCAGGGTGGAGCTGAGCTGCTCCAGCAGAGCCAAACCTCCACCCACATTCAGGTGGATGAAGAAGGGCACAGGTGGAGCCATTAAATTATCTGAGAAGAAGGTTTACAGCTTCATTGCTTCTGAGCGAGGAGATTATTACTGTGAGGTCACAAATAAGCTTGGAAGTGAGAGATCGACAAGCATCTGTGTTGACCTAATAGGTAATGCTTATTGTTTTGTCAAAAAAAATCATTGCATTTCTATTCATAATAAACATAAATATATATGTGTGTATAGATCGTGTCTTATCTTGACACTGGTTAGACAGAATGATTACAGTTGTGTCTTAGGAAGGCCACATTGAAAGACATCTCAAGGTCTTTCAATGTGCCGTTTGCTTAGTTGGGGCTCTCAGAACCAGTCAGTATCTGGTGTGACCACTATTTCACTCTCACAGTGCAACATATCTCCGTCACATAGAGTTGATCAGCTTGTTGGTTGTGGCTTGCAGAGTGATGGTCCATTCCTTTAAAATTGGACCAACATTCAATGGCTGTAAGAAGTTAAAGAATATTTTCAGGAACTGAAACATGTTATTGTATGCACTGATCCAGAGCATCCCAACCTTGTTCAATGGATGACATGTTTAGTGAATAAGCTGGCCAAGCACAAACAGGGGTGTTTTATTGTGGTCTTCCCAAGGCACTTCTGAGCAGTAATCATTCTGTCGAGTCAGGATCTTGATATGCAACACCCTCAAGGCAGGAGGGATTATGTACTGTATTAAAAGGAGAACTGTTCACTGCCACAGATTGAGATGGATGAATGAACAAAGAGAGAAATGATTATACTGAGAATGTTATAGGTCTTTTGATTAAGCTCATGAAAATGGGAGCAACGCAAAAGTGTTGTGTTTATATTTTCCTTCAGTAAATCTTTGTTTTCCAAATGCATTTATTAAACACAATTATGTTTAATAATCTGTGAGACACACATAGAACATTTATTAAATGTGTGTTTAATGTTACGTTTCAGATATTCCTTTGACTCCCACTATTAATATCCCTGTTGGTGATCTGAATGTGGGCCAATCTGTCACTATAACCTGCTCAGCTTCAACTCCGTGTGCACTCTCACCTCCTGAACTCACCTGGAATCTCCAACAAGACTCTATAAGACAAACAGAGGAAACCACAAAGGGAACCTTTACCAGTAAAATCCAGGCGAACATCACTCTGTTGGAGACACATGATGGATACAACATCAAATGTTCTTCCAGACATCCTGCGGCTAGAGAAAGCAACATAGCTGAGACAGAAGTGACTCTCAGTGTTGTATGTAAGTGATCCTGTCAGCAGGTCATGATCAATAACTGTTGCTGATCAATAAAGTTCATGTGTGTCATTTTCCTCAGATGCTCCTAAAGACACCTCAGCATCCATCAGTCCATCAGGTTTGGTGTCAAAAGGTAGCAGGGTGGAGCTGAGCTGCTCCAGCAGAGCCAAACCTCCACCCACATTCAGGTGGATGAAGAAGGGCACAGGTGGAGCCATTAAATTATCTGAGAAGAAGGTTTACAGCTTCATTGCTTCTGGGCGAGGAGATTATTACTGTGAGGTCACAAATAAGCTTGGAAGTGAGAGATCGACAAGCATCTGTGTTGACCTAATAGGTAATGCTTATTGTTTTGTCAAAAAAAAATCATTGCATTTCTATTCATAATAAACATAAATATATATGTGTGTATAGATCGTGTCTTATCTTGACACTGGTTAGACAGAATGATTACAGTTGTGTCTTAGGAAGGGCACATTGAAAGACATCTCAAGGTCTTTCAATGTGCCGTTTGCTTAGTTGGGGCTCTCAGAACCAGTCAGTATCTGGTGTGACCACTATTTCACTCTCACAGTGCAACATATCTCCGTCACATAGAGTTGATCAGCTTTTTGGTTGTGGCTTGCAGAGTGATGGTCCATTCCTTTAAAATTGGGCCAACATTCAATGGCTGTAAGAAGTTAATGAATATTTTCAGGAACTGAAACATGCTATTGTATGCGCTGATCCAGAGCATCCCAACCTTGTTCAATGGATGACATGTTTAGTGAATAAGCTGGCCAAGCACAAACAGGGGTGTTTTATTGTGGTCTTCCCAAGGCACTTCTGAGCAGTAATCATTCTGTCGAGTCAGGATCTTGATATGCAACACCCTCAAGGCAGGAGGGATTATGTACTGTATTAAAAGGAGAACTGTTCACTGCCACAGATTGAGATGGATGAATGAACAAAGAGAGAAATGATTATACTGAGAATGTTATAGGTCTTTTGATTAAGCTCATGAAAATGGGAGCAACACAAAAGTGTTGTGTTTATATTTTCCTTCAGTAAATCTTTGTTTTCCAAAGGCATTTATTAAACACAAATATGTTTAATAATCTGTGAGACACACATAGAACATCAATTAAATGTGTGTTTAATGTTACGTTTCAGATATTCCTTTGACTCCCACTATTAATATCCCTGTTGGTGATCTGAATGTGGGCCAATCTGTCACTATAACCTGCTCAGCTTCAACTCCGTGTGCACTCTCACCTCCTGAACTCACCTGGAATCTCCAACAAGACTCTATAAGACAAACAGAGGAAACCACAAAGGGAACCTTTACCAGTAAAATCCAGGCGAACATCACTCTGTTGGAGACACATGATGGATACAACATTAGCTGTTCTTCCAGACATCCTGCGGCTAGAGAAAGCAACATAGCTGAGAAAGAAGTGACTCTCAGTGTTTTATGTAAGTAATGCTGTCAGCAGGTCATGGTTCAGCTGGTTGTGGTCAATGAACCAGTTTATGTGTTTCATTTTGCTTAGATGCTCCAAGAAACACCTCAGCATCCATCAGTCCATCAGCTTTGGTGTCATCAGGTAGCTGGGTGGAGCTGAGCTGCTCCAGCAGAGCCAAACCTCCACCCACATTCACCTGGTTCAGGATCAGCGAAGATGGAGCCATTAACGACTCTTCAGTGTACAGGATGATCTTCACTGAAACTGAGCGAGGAGACTACTACTGTGAGGCCAGCAATGATCTTGGTACTGAGAGATCGAACAGCATCTGTCTTGACCTCATTGGTAATGCTTATTATTTTTTTATAAGAATTTTTAAATAATCAATTTCTTTTATTTTATTTTATTTTTTTTATTGGTATATGTCTCAGTAAAATTATCATTGTTCTTTACTTTGATGAAGCACTGAAAATATGTCATATATGCAGAAAATTGCAGTGCTTTTAGACCTCATATAGTGCAAAGAAAACATATTAACTTAGAAAGAATAATGCTGATGGTTTAACTCAAGAAGAGTTCAGAAATCAATATGTGGTGGAATAACCATGAGTTTTTCAATGGGGCTCAGTATAGTGGTATCTTAATCTTCTCCATAGCTGTATATGGAACTGGAGTTATAAATATCAGCATCAGGGCGTGCTGTGGTGGCGCAGGGGTTAGCACGCCCCACGTTTGGATGCCTCAGTCCTCAAAGCGGAAATCGCAGGTTTGAGTCCTGATCCCGGCGACCTTCACCGCATGTCTTCTGGCCTCTTTCCTGTCTGCCAGCTGTCAAAAATACAAGCCACTAGGGCCTCAAAAGCTCTTTGGAGAAAAAAATGCTAAATAAATATTGGAATCTCAAACATGAAATGAGATGCTGATATTTATAATCAGCATCTCATATATTTATATATACATATATATAAATCTTGTGTGTTTTGATAAGCATTGCAGAAACTTATCAAAACAATGCCAAAGATGAGTTTTGATGTAATCACCGCGAAATGTGTATAAAAATAAAAAAATTCCCTTCTCACCCACCGCGGGTGGTTCTTATCCTCTGAGCTCGGGTCCTCTACCAGAGGCCTGGGAGCTTGAGGGTTCTGCGCAGTATCTTGGCTGTGCCAAGGACTGCACATTTCTGGACTGAGATGTCTGATGTTGTTCCTGGGATCTGTTGTAGCCACTGCTCCAGTTTGGGGGTTACTGCCCGAGGGCCCCGATGACCACAGGCACCACTGTGGTCTTCACCTTCCAGGCCCTCTCCAGTTCTTCCCTGAGGCCCTGGTATTTCTCTAGTTTCTCGTGCTCCTTTTTCCTGATGTTGCAATCACTTGGTATTGCTACATCTACCACAACGGCTTTCCTCTGTTGTTTATCCACTACGACAATGTCTGGTTGGTTCGCCATTACCATTTTGTCTGTCTGGATCTGGAAGTCCCACAGGATCTTAGCTCTGGCGTTCTCCACCACCTTTGGGGGTGTTTCCCACTTTGATCTCGGGGTTTCCAGTCCATATTCTGCACAGATGTTTCTGTACACTATGCCTGCCAGTGCTTTTAGACCTCATATAGTGCACAGAAAACATATTAACTTAGAAAGAATAATGCTGATGGTTTAACTCAAGAAGAGTTCAGAAATCAATATGTGGTGGAATAACCATGAGTTTTTCAATGGGGCTCAGTATAGTGGTATCTTAATCTATATATATATATATATATATATATATATATATATATATATATATATATATATATATATATTATATATATATATATACATACATACATATATATATGTATATATGTATGTATGTTGTTCATACATATTTATATGAACAAAAACATAAATGAAGCCCTTTTTGTTTTTGCTCCCATTTCCTACATTTGAGACTACTTCCGGCATGGCAGACGTGGCAGTGGCGCACTCTCTTGGATCTCTGGCGTTTTCGAGAGCGCGTTTAAAGCCATGCATATATAAAACTGTTGAGGACAAAATTATTGTTGAGGACGAATTTTTCTCAGTCAAATTAAAGACTTTAAGTCAGGATTAGATTGTTTTGTTGGCTGTCAACACTTTCGACTCTGACTGGATCGAAACATCAAAGAAGACGCTGTATGAGCTCTGCACTTCTTCTCAGCGTAACATCAGCTATAAAGGAGCACAAAAGGATATCAACAACGTGAAAGCCTGCCTCAAGGTGTTAAATGAATGTGGGGACAACATTCCGAGGTTTGTGTCTCATCACTTGGACGAGCTGCCTCCTGTGACTATTTCTAACATGGATGTCTGCGGCCTGCTACACAAAATGGAACAGCTTCACCTTGCAGTATCTACCATGAAGCAAACACTTCACGTTCAAACTGAAGTCAGTGAAGAACTTCACGATGTTACGGCGGATCTACGAAGCCGGGTGTCTGCTCTGGAACAACGAGCCGATCAAGGATGTGGAAGCCGATCTGTACCGGTAAAGGAGCAGGGTGTGGCGGACATTGTTTTGAACGCCGCCCTGGATATGGAGCACAGTACTCAAGCTCTGGAGGGGGATTCTCTCCCAACTCAGAAGGGAGATACTCCAGTGCTGTGCACCCGAGAAACTACGCCATCTCAGGGATCTCCGAAATGGAGCCAGGTCGTGAAACGGCACCATCGAAAACCTAAAGGACATTCGGCTGCGAAGAGGACGACTCGCTCTGGCCCTTCACTGGGACGCAGGAATGCTGGACAAATGGTTGTTGGCATTGGAGCCGCAGGAAACATTAAAACGGTTAAAACTAAACTGGTGAGTGTTTTTGCTTCTAAATTCTCACCCGGCGTGGAAGCGGAAACGCTATGCGGCTATATTAAAGCCAAGCTGGGGCATAATGTAACCTGCCAGAGAATCACTACTGTTAATACCAGTGTTGCGGAAAGTGCCTCCACTGTAAGTGATAACAGCTCAGTGAGTGATGTGTGTGAGCCGTCCTCCGGTCAGCAGGGGGGGCGCTGCGTGCTGGAAGAACCTGCATGTTGTGGGGAGGAGCGAGTGAGAGGGATGGTGAGAGTGGAGACGACAACGGGAGCGGCGGCTAACAAAAACTCTGTACAGCCTTCAAGTGTTTACTGGCGCTATTAAAGTTGACTTCCAAGCACCCCTGTGCCACCTTGTGGTTCATGTCCTAAGGCGAATGAGGGAGTTAACCCCGAAGTAACTTCGCTTCGGCCCTGGAGGAAAATCTCCCCTGTGTCTTCCGACTACGGTCAGCAGTCTGAGCAGGAACGGTTAACACCAGGTATGCCTCATTCAAGGTTTCTGCCGAATGTAGCGACGTGGCTGTTATGTATAACCCAGAGCTTTGGCCTGAGGGAACCCATGTGAGACGTTTTTACGAGCCACGTAAAACTACCATTGGAGCCAACGCTACCCTTTCTTCTATGGACATATGCGCGCCTATTGCTGGCGTGAACACCAAGTCATAAATATCATGGACATTAAAGTCATCTCCTACAACTGCCGTGGCCTGCGCTTAGGGCAGAGCGCAGATGATAAAGCTCGCCGTTTGGTTGTTGACCAGTTGTTGCTGCACTGTGACACCTTGTGCCTGCAAGAAACTTTTTTAGCCAGACAGGATTTAAAAGGTCTAAACTTTATTAATGATAGTTTCCTGGGTGTTGGGGAATCTTCTACTGACCTCAGTTTGGGAATAAGAAGAGGAAGGATCCCGGGAGGCGTGGCTATACTATGGGAAAAAAAGCCTTGACTCAGTGATAAATGTCATTAGATTAGGTGTGGATTGGTGTATGGCAGTACAAGTGAAGCAGCATGACAAAGAATTTATTTTAAATGTCTATGCTCCCTATGAATGTCATCATAATGAAGAAGAATACCTCAGTAAACTTGCTTATATCAGCTCTTTTATACAAACTGAGAAGTCTAAAAGTATTTATGTTATGGGTGACATGAATGCAGACATCTCAGATGATAACTCCCTGTTTGCTAAACACCTGATTCATTTCTGTACAGATTCTAATCTAATATTATCAAGTAAAGAACTTTTGCCAGCTGCTAGCTACACTTATATCAGTGAAGCCTGGCATACTACTTCCTGGTTAGACCATTGTATCACTACAGCAGATGCTCATGCTGCTTTGGTACATATCAATATTCTGTACATTGTATCCATTGTTGATCACATCCCCTTTGAGGTGTTAATTAGATTTGATCATATTCCTGCAACTGTTAATGTGGACAGTAATCAGAATCAAATACATATAGACTGGTCTTCTATTTCTTCTGAACAAATAGCCCGTTACTATGCCCTAACTGATCAACTATTGTGTAGTGTTAAAATACCAAGAGAGGCAGTTAATTGTACAGACTCTAACTGCTCTAATATTGGACATAGGACCAACTTAACTGGATTATACTCTGACATTATTGAAGCACTACTCGAAGCTACCCTGCCTTATAATAAAAGTAATATTGAGATTAAAAAGAGACCAGGCTGGAATACATATGTGTCTAAATACTACAGTGAATACTGTGAAGCTACTACTTCTTGGGCTCTAGCAGGTAAACCTAGGCAGGGCCCTTTATTTGAACATAAAAAGCGGTCTAATGCAAAATTCAAATATGCACTACGCTTTATTAGACAGAATGAACAAACAATGAGGGCTGACTCCTTGGCAAATAAGATCATAGGTAAAGATCCCAAAGCATTCTGGAAAGAGGTTAAAACCATTAATATCAGTAAACCATGTCTCCCTTGCACTGTCGATGGTGTTTCTGGGACGAATATGATTGTAGATTTTTGGCAACATCACTACAGCAAGCTATTTACCTGTGTACAGAATGAACCCTTCCGAGTTGACAAGGTTAGTACTGTAGAAACTATCAAAACGCACGAGGTTTATCAAGCAATTAAAGATTTGTCTGTAAATAAATCCATAGGAAAGGATCTTATTTCAGCTGAACATCTGAAATTTGCAAGTTCTAGGGTAGCCCCTCTTCTTGCTTTGTGCTTCACTGGTTTTATTATGCATGGCTTTATTCCTGATTCCTTGATGAATGTTCTTCTACTTCCTGTGATTAAAAACAAAGCTGGTAGAATTGGCAGCTCTGATAACTATAGACATATAGCCATTGCTAGTACACTGTCTAAAGTCTTTGAACTAATTCTTTTGCCTAAATTTGAAAAGATAGTTATGTCTACTGATAATCCATTTGGGTTTAAGTCCAAACATGGCACTGATATGTGTATATATGGCCTAAAAGAATTACTGAATAATTATACCAGCAAAAACTCTACAGTCTGTTTGTGCTTTTTAGACGCCACGAAGGCTTTTGATCGTGTAAATCATAGAAAATTATTTTTAAAATTGTGCCCAAGTATATAGTAAGATGTCTGACATATTGGTATACCAATCAAACTATGCAGGTTAAATGGGACAATTGTATATCTGCATCCTTTCGTGTCAGCAATGGAGTCAGACAAGGTAGCATTTTATCACCCATGTTATTTAACTTTTATATGAATGATCTCTCTAAGCAGCTCAACCTGTGTAGAACTGGCTGCATGGTTGGCGATACCATTATTAATCATTTAATGTATGCTGATGATATAGTGATTTTTAGTCCAAGTTCAGCTGGTCGTCAGAAGCTGCTTAATGTCTGTTCAGCATATGGTGAAGTACATGATGTTAAATTTAATCCATCAAAAAGCATCATCTTGATCTGTCGCACCAAGGAGGACAAATATAGCAAATTTCCAACTTTCAAGCTGTCTGGGACTCAATTGAATGTCTCTAATGAAGTAAAATATCTTGGTCATGTGTTGACAGACACTTTGTCTGATGATGCGGACATTTACCGACAGGTTCGAATGCTATATGCTCAGGCAAATATCCTGGTCCGTAAGTTTGGCTTCTGTACTGATGAAGTGAAACTGCATTTGTTTCGATCATATTGTACATCATTGTATACAGCACATTTGTGGTACAATTTTTAAAAAAAAACAGTCTTCAAAGATTGAAGGTGGCTTTTAATGATGTTTTAAGACTTTTGTTAAATAAGCCCAGATGGACCAGAGCCAGTGAAGTGTTTGTATCTGCTCACGTTAGCACTTTGATGGCTGTTTTAAGGAAGCTTATGTATCAATTTAGTTGTCGTTTAAACGAGTCTAATAATAGAATTATTCTATTGTTGACGAATGTTAAATATAGTGCCGTAAAATATTCATCTGCACTCTGGAGACATTGGTATGATTGCCTCCTGATGGGTTAGTTGCCATTTTTTAATGCACTTTTTATTCTTTTATTTTTTCTTTTCTTTACTTTTTTGTATATTTGGACTTTGAGTCTGTGTAATAAATAAATCAATCAATCTTTATGAGCTGAACTCAAAGATCTAAAATAATTTCTCTGTAACCAACTGTTGTTCTTTTGGTTTGCTTCACGATATATCCGTGCGTTCAAAATGCCATCAATAAAATGTGTTCTATGTCCTCCACATATTTCAGCCCATACCACAAACCCACCGCCACCGTAGGTCAACGGTTTGCTGACCTCAGCAAACCGTTGACCGACAAAATGAAATAAACGTTATCATCTGTCTGCCCTGAACAGTGAAAACTGGGATTCATCCATGACAATATCTTGTTTCCAATTTTTCAGACAAAATACTTACAATCAGATTTAGACAGATATTTGATTTAGACAGATACTTGAAAAAAAATTCGGTTTTTCAGTTCCGCTCATAAAAAATGGGAACAAGAAAGTGTTACGTTTATTAATTTGTTCATTTTATGTATATTTCCAATGCACATTGGAATACACAACAATCATGTTTTCTTACATGCATAAATCTATGACACTCACATTGGACTTTATTTATGTCTTAATATTCAATTTCAGATTTTTCTGTGACTCCCACTATTAATATCCCTTTTGGTGATCTGAAGGAGCATCAGTCTATCACTGTAACCTGCTCAGCTTCAACTCTCTGTCCACAATCACAACCTGAACTCACCTGGAATCTCCAACAAGACTCTGTCAGACGAACAGAGAAAAACACAGATGGAACCTTTACAACTAAAATCCAGGAGAACATCACTCTGTCAGACACACATGATGGATACAACATCAGCTGTTTCAGCAGACAACATGCAACTAGAAAAAGCATCGCAACAGACACAGAAGTGACTCTCAGTGTTTCATGTAAGTGATCCTGTCAGCAGGTCATGGTTCAGCTGGTTCTGATCAATAAAGTTCATGTGTCTCATTTTCCTCAGATGCTCCTAAAGACACCTCAGCATCTGTCAGTCCATCAGGTTTGGTGTCAACAGGTAGCTGGGTGGAGCTGAGCTGCTCCAGCAGAGCCAAACCTCCACCCAGATTCACCTGGTTAAGGCTCAGCGGAGGTGGAGCGATTGAACTATCTGAAGGGCAGGTTTACAACTTCAGTGCTACTACCATTGAAGAAGGAGAATATTACTGTGAGGCCACAAATGAGCTAGGGAGTGAGAAATCAACAGGCATCTGTATTGGCATCAGTGGTAACGCTTATCTTTTAAGATCATTTCAATACATAAAGAGAGAGATAATTTAGAGATCAATTATCAGTTGCTCTGATTTTACTTTTTATAGATATGTTTAAGTAAAATGTATATTCTTTTATTCTATGAACTACTGACATGTCTCCGAAAAAACAAGCAAAAGTTTTATTTTTATTTGCTGAGAAATGGTCAAAATAACCTCATTATTTGACGTCTGAAAACGATGCGCATTAGATCTTCTTTCTACTGCAAAGAAAAGAAGTTCATTTACATTTGGAAACAATAACTCCTATGTTTTTGTTATGATGTGTTCTAGAGGTGAACAGAATTACAGCTGGCAAAAACGTTGTGAATATGTAATGAATAAAACTGGAGTCCAACTTGCACAAGGAATATTCCAGGAAAGCACACAAAAAATCCAAAAACTTTCAAAGTTTATCCATCCCATTTCTAAACTGGCTTATCAAGATACTAGTTTGACAGAATGATTTCTGCACAGGTGCGCCTTAGGCAGGCCACATTAGAAGACCAGTTTGAAATGTGCTGTTTGCTTAATTGGTGGGTCTGAAAACCAGACCAACCAGATGTGTCCAACACATCTCCTTCACATGGAGTTGATCTGCTTGTTCATAGTAGCCTGTAAAATGTGGAACATTTACTGGCCGTTCAAAGTTGATGAATATTTTCAGGAACTGGAACGGCATAGGATTGTTCGGGATGCTCTGGATGCGCTGATCCAGAGCATCCCAACCCATGTTCAATGGGTGACATGTTTGTTTAGTAATCTGGCCATGCACAAACTGGGATGTTTTCAGTTTACAGGAATTGTGTACAGATGCTTGCAAATTGGGACGGTTCACCAGGATGCTGTGACATGAGCCGCTGTTCGTGGATGAATGCCACAACAATGTGTTTGAGTTCAGCTCATGAAAAACAAAAGTGTTGCATTTGCATTTTAGTTCAGTGTATTTTTATGTCCAATGAAGTCATAAATGACAGTCATGTTTTTTCAAATTCAAAAATCTGTGACACGCACGTAGAACATCAATTAAATGTGTATTTAATGTAAAATTTCAGATGCTCTTTTGACTCCCAACATTAATATCCCTGTTGATGATCTGAAGGAGGGCCAGTCTGTCACTATAAGCTGCTCAATTTCAACTCCTTGTCCACAATCACAACCTGAACTCACCTGGAATCTCCGCAAAAATTCTCTCAGAGAAACAGAGAGAATAGCAGATGGAAACTTCACAACTAAAATCCAGGAGATCATCACTCTGTCGTACAAACATGATGGATACAACATCAAATGTTCCAGCAGACGACCTGCAACTAGAAAAAGCATCGCAGCAGACACAGAAGTGACTCTCAGTGTTTCATGTAAGTGATCCTGTCAGCAGGTCATAGTTCAGCTGTTTCTGATCAATAAAGTTCATGTGTCTCATTTTCCTCAGATGCTCCTAAAGACACCTCAGCATCCATCAGTCCATCAGATTCGGTGCCAGAAGGTAGCTGGGTGGAGCTGAGCTGCTCCAGCAGAGCCAAACCTCCACCCAGATTCACCTGGTTCAAGAAAGGCCCCAAAACATTCAAGGAAGTATCTTCAGGCAGGATTTTCAAGATTAAATTCACTGGGGGCGATGAGTACTACTGTTTAGCTTCAAATAAGCTGGGTAACAGAAATCATCAATGATCAATCTTAAATCACAAGGTAAATTCTGTTCCTTCTTTGTTTTCCTTTTCAAAATCCTCAAAGAAATTGAGATATTAACATTTTTAAGCAGAATAAAAGGTTTATTTTGGAAAGAAGCTGAAATTATTGTTTGAAGACTTTGCCACCTCGTCAATATCTTAAGAACTGTTATTCTGGGTACATTTAATCATGTTTGATCATTTTATTAATCAGTTCAAATTGCGCTTTATAAAATAAAAACGTTATAAGGGTGCCAGTAAAGCTTTTGCTCTTTTTTTAAAATTTTTTTTATAAAGTTGCAATACATGTATGATGGTATTTAAAGCCAAGATATTTTCCATTCAATGAAATCTGAGCATTTTTTCTTCTTAAAGGTGGAACAGGATTCGCAGCCTGGATTTTGGCAATAATAGGGGTCTTGGGAATGATAGCTGTTAGCTGTGCATTCTTCATCCTTGACAAGTAAGACACTTTTGTCTTCTGAGTTGGAACAATTCAGCTGAAGAGCTGCTGGTCTCGGTTACATTTTGGTGTTTGACGTTTACTTTCCATCTCTCTTGTTTCTTTTCTCTCTTTCAGATACTTCATTTCCTCCTAGTGTAGTCAAGCTCATGTGTTGCGCTCGTGTGCAACACTAAAAATAAAATGCTGCAACCCGCTTCAGCCCTGTCTGCCACTGATTGGCGTATGAAATAGTTTCTGCCTCTTTGTAAAAACCTAAAAAGCATTTAATCATTCGTCAATCAATACGTTTATTCGCTCAACAAATCATATTTCACCACCAATGTACAAAATCGTTGTAACAAATTCATCTACATGAGTGACAAGCAGCAGACAGGAAGTGCTGACAATTCTAAGAAATTTTTTTTTTTTTACTTTGTTTAAAAGTCCAATATCTTTGCACAGTTTTTGTTTTATATGTATTTTTAAAATGAGATTTCTGTTGTAGCTGCAGCCAGATTTCTGTGAGTCTCATTTTTCAAGTTCAAGTATATTTGTGTCACAAATTTCAGCAACAAGGGAGTTCACAATGTTCTAAAAACATCACGCACTTACCGATTGTGAGACAAGCAATAAACATAACATTTAGCCAAAATGCAATAATCAACATCATCAATATATGTCAATTATGTAGAGTCGTGTTCGATAACTCTAAACAGGTGGATTTTTAGCCTGACAGGAAGTCAGTGTTTCAGCCGTTTTGCAGTTTTATGGGAAAACTGCAAGGGTGTTCTAGATTTGTGCACTCTAGAATTATTGGTTCCCAGACTCCTTGTATGAAACTTTGTGATAACCCAATTATAAGCCAGTAGAAACTGTCCAGTGAAAAGGGATCAGACTGAACAGACTTTAAGCATGTCTGCTTGCTGTTGTCATCCACACAAAGTACTGTTTCAGTGAGTCTCACCAAGCTCTGCGGGGTAAGTAAAAGTGCCAGTACATGAAGTTAATTCCTTTTTCTTCATTACATTTTATTTGCTGTCATCTCTTTGATTTTCTTTTCTTTTTTTTTTTCTTCTTTTTTTTTTTATTGGGATGTTGAAGTCAGGAGGATCCATACAGCCTAAGAAGAGTCTTCCTAACCTCAAACCAAGTCCATAGTTAAAGGAAGGAGAATTTCTGGTCTTTGATCTCCCGGAAAAGTCGATGGAAGACCCAACACGGACCCACCTTTTACAGAGACGGTGAGAAAATCCTCAATCAGCATGTACATTTTTAAATTGACCAAAATAGAAAATACAAATTTGATTCGAGTCTAGAAACATTTTAATGCTTTAAGTTATTTTTCTTTCTTTTCTTCTGCTATTCATTATGATGTTGCTGTGCAGTAACACATCAAATCTCTCAGGAAGGAAAATAATGTTGAATGAAAAATCTGCAGTTGGCAGGATGTTGAATTTAAATAAATAACACTTTAAATGATCTGCAGCAAGTAATTGTGAAATTGAAGGATCTACATTATTATCAACGAATCAATCAATGAGTTTTTACTATTCATGCCTGGAAATATGCTACATGAATGAAGATTTATTTATTTACTGATAGTTCTCTGTTAATGAAAATCTCTTGAAAATTAAGAGATTTTTTTTTCTTAAGCATCATAACTAGAACTGTAGCACAGCAAATATGTAAATGTGCTGCACAAACAATAATGATTCGGAAATCCCATACAAGTAATCAAACTACATTTATATAATTACTAAGGCATTGTATGGAGATGCTTGTTTTAACTTATTTTGTACATAATAAACTGTAATTAGATATTTATTTTTGTAAAATGTGTATCTGATTTGAAACTCCAGATTCTCCCTGGAGTCCCAGCATTAATGTTCCCTCTGACCTGAAGGAGCATCAGTCTGTCACTGTAACCTGCTCAGCTTTCACTCCCTGTCCAAACTCACCTCCTGAACTCACCTGGAATCTCCAACAAGACTCTCTCAGACACACAGAGAAAAACAGAGATGGAACCTTTACAACTAAAATCCAGGAGAACATCACTCTGTCAGACACACATGATGGATACAACATCAGATGTTCTGCCAGATATCCTGTGATTGGAGGAAACAAGACAGCAGAGACAGAAGTGACTCTCAGTGTTTCATGTAAGTGATCCTGTCAGCAGGTCATGGTTCAGCTGGTTCTGATCAATAAAGTTCATGTGTCTCATTTTCCTCAGATGCTCCTAAAGTCACCTCAGCATCCATCAGTCCATCAGGTTTGGTGTCAGCAGGTAGCTGGGTGGAGCTGAGCTGCTCCAGCAGAGCCAAACCTCCACCCACATTCACCTGTTCAGGATCAGCAAAGATGGAGACATTAATGTGTCTGTGGGGCCAATTTATGGCTTCAAAGTTTCTGAGGGAGAAGAGTTTTACTGTATGGCTTCAAATGATCTGGGGAATCAAACATCATCTGTGATCCTAGCTACCAATAAAGGTAATTCATGACAGGTATTAAAAGTGTTAGACCATAGCTCTTGAGTTTCAATGTGACTGAAATCATTTTATTTGATTATTTTTTAAACTTACTTAATTTTGATATTTTTAGTAACTTTTGCATTTTGTTTTTCTAAGACTCAACAATAAGATTTTCTTACTTGGTGGTGATTGTAGTTGGAGTCATTTTGATCATCTGTCTTGTTCTTTGTGCTTGGTAAGTGTCAAACGTTAAAATAGTAAAACTTCATTTACGTAATTACCTAAATTAACAGACTGTACTATACTATACTGTACTATACTATACTATTCAGAACTAGATCTCTATATTATGTGTGCAGCTGAATCTTTTTCTGATTTTATAAATGTTTTAATCCTCTCAGGTCTGTTCCAGATCAGTCCTGACTCTCAGCCTGAATCTCTCTCTCTCTCTCTCTCTCTCTATCTATCTATATATATATATATATATATATATATATATATATATATAGAGAGAGATATATATATATATATATATATATATATATATATATATATATTATATATATATATATATTTTTTTTTTTTTTTTTTTTTTTTTTTTTTTGTCTCCTGAAAATCAATAGAATTATTCAGACAGATCTCTAATGTCTTCCAGGTTCTTCAAGTCCAAACGCCCAGCTTCGCCACAGACTCAGGTGAGGAATTTTTCATCTGTTGTTAGCAGCTCCACTATTATTTTTCTGTATATTATATTATATTATATTATATTATATTATATTATATTATATTATATTATATTATATTATATTAAATTATATTATTATTATATTATATTATATTATATTATATTATATTATATTATATTATATTATACATTTTTAAAATTGGAACTGACATTACTTTAGTAAACCACAAGATGGTGGTGTACTCACTGTTTGAGTTAAGACACAGGAACATGAGGGATGACGTCAGTGTGTATTTTAATAGGCTCACACTCACCTTGACTGTCGAACTTCATCCAAGCGATGTCGTCCCCAACGCACTCAACCTTCCAGCCCGGGATAGCGGGCTTCATCATGGCCAGGTTGGTTTTACCGCAGGCGCTGGGGAAGGCCGCCGCCACGTAGCGCTTCACACCCTGAGGGTTGGTGATTCCAAGGATCTGGCGACAGAAAAAAGTTGTGAACCAAGATAGAAGAGGTTCCACAATGTCTGAGGACTGATGTAATATTTTTCCTTTTGGTCTCACCAACATATGCTCAGCCAGCCAGCCCTCATCCTTGGCGATGCGAGAGGCAATGCGGAGGGCAATGTACTTCTTCCCAAGGAGAGAGTTTCCTCCATAACCGCTGACGAAGGACAGAATCTGCCTGGTGTCCGGCAGGTGAGATATTAGGACTTTGTCTGGGTTACAAGGCCAAGAGTTGACCAGAGGAGCTGGAGATTTAGAAAGGTGAATGTAAACACAAATACATCCACTACTTGATCGCTGAAGTTTACTTTATGGCAGATTGGACGCGCCTCCTTTCACTCAAACTGGACACAGGCTGACTTGCACCAACCCCCTGGGAGGAATTATGTTTCTTTGGAGAACTTTATATGAAGGTAGGAGTTTAAAAGGCAGGAATAACTTGTAGTGGGGCTTTCAGAAGTGCGTTGAAAGCTCTCCTCTGAAAGCGGTGAGAATGATTTTTCTTTGTGGGTGATGGTAATCACATCAACAAACATATTCATACATAAAAACAGTTACAACATCTTTTTAAAACACATGGCACATGGTAATACAAGATATTTTGAGTGGGAGATGCATCCCACCTGAGAGTGTGTCTAACAAACACCTAAATCTAAACATTTGTGTTTAGGTCTACAGATATTCTCCATAAGAATGTTCAATACACTCCAGCCTCATGACACGAGGAAGTCTGGAGTCAAACACCCAGTGGCCCCAAACACGAAGCCCAGTAGTGCCCCAATAGTGTGTCTCATCTCCAACAACAACGAATCCCTTCATAATCTCTAATTCTCCCTCCTTCTCTGGTGCTGAATCTGCTCCAGTGGTTGAAGTTTGTGTGGTTAACATATCAGCCTGGTTGACAAATGTTTTGTGTCAACTTTGGTGTCCTTTAGTGTTTGCTCTCACAGTTCTTCTGGACCCGCTCCACCACGTATCCCCCCTGATCTACTGAAGTGACAAAATTTATATCCTCAAATGAGAATGGAGGGGTGGGTCAAGGAGGACTGAGAGATTTCAGCCCAATGTCCTTCAAGAAAATCAACCAGTGTTGAACATGTGTAGGTCAATACTGACACTGTCCATTCATGTCTGGACATATTTCTGAATATCAACAGAAAAGCACATCATGTGGAGTTATTTGATCTAAATCATCTTTGAAGAATGACACTAACATTAAAATTAAACAGTGACTTCCTCTTTCATGTTGACAGACTCCACTTGTTAATCAGTAACGAGGTTGTATTTCAAAATAATAGTTGTGAAATTTGGCTAAATTATTTGATGTATTCTTCAAAATAATCTTTATTAATATAAAGTCTTTTTCTCCTGACATTTATTGCTATATAAGTTCTGTTGCTCTTGACAGCCAGTTTACCGTAGCAACTAGTAACAGTAGGCTCGTCCCCTTTTGCCATCTTTAACTCTGGTATGTATTAAGATCAGCTCTGTGCTTTCTTTACAGTACTATATTTAACATGTATGTTAGACTAATTTAATATTATGCAGTGTTTAATGTTTTGTAATGATTTGTATATATTTTTGCTGTTTCATAATTAATATTTCACATTTAAGCTATCTCTGAGTTTACAACTGTTAACTGATGTCAACTGTTTATTAGGAACAATTGCTCTGTAGTTTGTTTGGGGTTATTTATTGTATTTTTATTTAATGTATAGGGCCTGGACTGATGTTAACACCAGCTTGATCTTCTCTCTTGTTATCTCTGCTTCAACTTTTGATAAAAGGTAACATGTCAGTTCTCAGTCGTGTGTTAGTTTTTAATATAAAGTGTGTGTAATCTCCATCTAGTAAAATTACATATCTTCATTTATAGAGAAGAAAAGATTAGCTATGTAGATGTTTAATGTAAATTTATTTTAAATACCACTACACTATGACAGTCAGCCTGTGCCTTTTTACTGTCCTTAACTTTGTGGCACAAACTGCTGGTCTGATGTCTGACTTTTACATATGACAAACATTCAACCAGCTTGAATGTTTGTGTGTGAAGTCAACCTACGACGAACAGAGAAAGGTTACATATCCATCACATTTACTTTGAATCATGGAAAGTGGTGGTCTGACCTGCTGTTGATCCACTAAAATCCATTCAGTTTTTTATCTAAACTGGTTCTGATTTAGCTGCAGGTTTCTTTTGGTAAGTTTGTGTTGATTTGATTTATCGTTATGTATGTTTCCTGACTTTTATTATATTACAGAATCATTTTAATACTATGAAATAATCATGACATATTTTTCAAAATGTTTAAATTCTGCCTTTTAATCATTTGAGTTCTGATTTGATCAAGAGACAGCTTTAAAAATATTAATCTCATCATCAGCTTGTTCCAGTCAGAGAGATGAAGAAGCTCTGTCACCTGTATAACAACATCCTGATAGTCGGCATTTACTGATTGTCTTCGGTCCTCCAGGTGAGTTTGTTTGTTTAGTCCCTTTTATTTGGAGACGTCACATAAATCACTTATAGTCTGAAATATTTTATTCTGATATGGTTGAAAGTATTCACACGTAACATGAAGCTTCATGTTCGATGGTCAATGTAACAGGATGATATCTCTCCACTTTATTTTTATTATTCATCTATTTTACAGGTGCTTTGGGTGCTTTGGGTCCTTGTGGTAATAAGCTTTCACCAATTCAATTGCAAGGACTGGCTGGATCTTGTTTGGATGTCCAATGTGAATTTGAGCCCTTTCCAGGATTTAACAGCAGCAAACCCATTTACGCAATATGGATGAGATATTTTCCGAATTTGACAACAAATCAAGTTTTTTTTAACAGCAGTGGTTCAATTAACACCCGTCAAATGGAAATAACTGGAGATTTGACAAGTAACAACTGCAGCACTCGGATTTCTGATTTAACAGCAACTCATAGAGACAAGTACATCTTAAGAATTGAGAATGAGGGAATAAAAAAGACATTTTGTGAAAATTTGGTGATAGTAACAGTTGTAGGTAAGAGAGCTTTTCTGTCTTTTCTATATAACATACACTCACCAGCCACTTTATTAGGTACGCCTTGCTAGTTCTGTGTTGGGAACCCTTTTGCCTTCAGAACTGCCTTTATCCATGGTAGCATAGATTCAACAAGGTACTGGAAACATTCCTCAGAGAGTGTGGTCCATGTTGACATTGTAGCATCATGCAGTTGCTGTAGATTTGTCGGCTGCACATCTATAATGTGAATCTCCCGTTCCACCACATCTCAAAGGTGATCTATTGGACTGAGATCTGACTGTGGAGGCCATTTGAGTACCGTGCACTGATTGTTGTGTTCAGGAAACCAGTCTGACATGACTCGCGCTTTATGACATGCTGCATTATCCTGCTGGAAGTAGCCATCAGAAAATGTGTACACTGTGGTCATAAAGTTTGCTGTTGTTAGCTGACAGCAGAGGCACACGGTGTGGTTTTCTTCTGCTGTATCGCAGCCGCCTCCAGGTTCGATGTGCGTTCAGATATACTCTTCTTTAAACCTCTATTGTAACAAAGGGTTCTTTGAGTCACTGTTGCCATTCTATCAACTTGAACCAGTCTGTCCATTCTCCTCTGACCTCTGGCACCAACAACCATGCCACGTTCGATGTCACGTAAATCACCTATGTTCCCCATTCTGATATTCGCTTGGAACTGCGGCAGATCATCTTGGCCATGTCTACATGCCTACAAGCATTGAGTTGCTTCCATGTGATTATTAGTTGACCTCATCAGTGTCACTTAATTATTCGAGGCGCCATGACGGTCGTTTGAAGTGAACTTGTTTTCCCAAGTTGCTTTTTCCAGTTTATTCATGGCTTCTTCTTGTTCCAGTCAAGCTAATTTGACTGTAATCGTAACACATCTTCCTCCTTGTACTGGAGCAGCCTTAAAAACGAACAAAAAGTTTTTAACCACACATGTTAGGCTACAGGACTGTGCAGCACTGTCTCCATGGTTACTGACGGTTAAACGCGTACCTTCTCCATAATGCGATTTTTGACATATTTCTAATCATAAAAAGAGTATGAATGTTAGTTTTCTTACCTTGTAAAAAGTGTTCACTGCAAATCCACAGTTACACTGAGGGATGACAGTCATTATGATTGACGGCTGCTGTCCAGCACCGCCGTATCTTTCCTCACTACAAGTTATAAGATAAAGCGGCAAGTTTGCTTTGCTTCCTTGCCTGTTTGTGCAGCCGACCACACAGCATCCTGTGACCATTTTTAAAGAGAAATCAACCAAATAGAAGGATATAAGGTTATAGATGTCTATTTTCATCTGGCTTTAAAGGAGCACATTGGTTGTTTTGACTTCTGCCATGGCGGAGTTTGCATCAGTCTGTCTCAAGTAAAGGGTCAATAAAGGAAATGTTTCATGGAATTAAAAGCTTGTTGATGAGTAAAATGGTGTTGTAGTTGTAGGTATAGTGTCCAAGAAATCAATACTGTATTTTGTGTTGTGTTTCACTTTATGACATGTCTGGTTTGAAACCACAGAAACTGCTTGGGCTCCCACCATTGATGTTTCTCGAAGTAATCTGAAGGAGCGTCAGTCTGTAACTGTATCCTGCTCAGCTTATACTCCCTGTGTACACTCACCTCCTGAACTCACCTGGAATCTCAAAAGAGACTCTATCGGAGAAGAATTCGGGAAAAATTATGGAACCCATTTCACTAGAATCAACAATACCATCAAGCTTACATACCACCATGATGGATTAAACATCAGCTGTTCTGCAAGATATCCTGTAAAAGGACGATTCAAACATTCACGAGAGTCAGTAAGGACTCTCAATGTTTCATGTAAGTGATCCTGTCAGCAGGTCATAGTTCAGCTGTTTCTGATCAATAAAGTTCATGTGTCTCATTTTGCTCAGATGCTCCTAAAAGAACCGCAGCATCCATCCGTCCATTATCTGTAGTGTCAGTAGGTAACTTGGTGGAGCTGATCTGCTTCAGCAGAGCCAATCCTCCACCCACATTCGCCTGGTTCAAGATCATCGAAGTTGACCCCGTTAACGACTCTTCAGTGTACAGCATGATCTTCACTGAAACTGAGCGAGGAGACTATTTCTGTGAGGCCAGCAATGACCTTGGTACTGAGAGATCGAACGGCATCTGTCTTGACCACATTGGTAATGCTTATTATTTTTTTTATAAGATCATTTCATTTCTCCCAGTTTATATATTTACATATGCACAGCTCTGGAAAAATTTCAGAGAATTTTTAAATGGTCAATTTCTCTGATTTTATTTTTTTTATTGGTATATGTCTCAGTAAAATTATCATTGTTCTTTACTTTGATGAAGCACTGAAAATATGTCATATATGCAGAAAATTGCAGTGCTTTTAGACCTCATATAGTGCAAAGAAAACATATTAACTTAGAAAGAATAATGCTGATGGTTTAACTCAAGAAGAGTTCAGAAATCAATATGTGGTGGAATAACCATGAGTTTTTCAATGGGGCTCAGTATAGTGGTCTCTTAATCTTCTCCATAGCTGTATATGGAACTGGAGTTATAAATATCAGCATCAGGGCGTGCTGTGGTGGCGCAGGGGTTAGCACGCCCCACGTTTGGATGCCTCAGTCCTCGAAGCGGAAATCGCAGGTTTGAGTCCTGATCCCGGCGACCTTCACCGCATGTCTTCTGGCCTCTTTCCTGTCTGTCAGCTGTCAAAAATACAAGCCACTAGGGCCTCAAAAGCTCTTTGGAGAAAAAAATGCTAAATAAATATTAGAATCTCAGACATGAGATGCTGATATTTATAATCAGCATCTCATATATTTATATATAAATCATATGTGTTTTGATAAGCATTGCAGAAACTTATCAAAACAATGCCAAAGATGAGTTTTGATGTAATCACAGCTAAAGGTGATCCAATGAAATATTAGCGTCTGTAACCTTTGAAGATTTAGATATTTGAGCGAAACGGTTATCTTGAAAAAAAATTCGTTTTTTGAGTTCAGCTCATAAAAAATGGGAACAAAAAAGTGTTACGTTTATTAATTTGTTCATTTTATGTATATTTCCAATGCACATTGGAATACACAACAATCATGTTTTTTTACATGCATAAATCTATGACACTCACATTGGACTTTATTTATGTCTAATGTTAAATTTCAGATTTTCCTGTGACTCTCACTATTAATATCCCTTTTGGTGATCTGAAGGAGCATCAGTCTATCACTGTAACCTGCTCAGCTTCAACTCCATGTGCATTCGCACCTCCTGAACTCACCTGGAATCTCCAACAAGACTCTATAAGACAATTAGAGGGAACCACAGATGGAACCTTTGTCAGTAAACTCCAGGAGACCATCATTCTGTCAGACACACATGATGGATACAACATCAGATGTTTTTCCAAACGTTCAGCGTCTGGAGGAAACAAGACAACAGAGACAGAAGTGACTCTCAGTGTTTTATGTAAGTGATCCTGTCAGCAGGTCATAGTTCAGCTGTTTCTAATCAATAAAGTTCATGTGTCTCATTTTCCTCAGATGCTCCTAAAGACACCTCAGCATCCATCAGTCCATCAGGTTTGGTGTCAACAGGTAGCTGGGTGGAGCTGAACTGCTCCAGCAGAGCCAAACCTCCACCCAGATTCACCTGGTTCAGGCTCAGCGGAGGTGGAGCGATTGAACTATCTGAAGGGCAGGTTTACAACTTCAGTGTTACTACCACTCAAGAAGGAGAATATTACTGTGAGGCCACAAATGAGATAGGGAGTGAGAAATCAACAGGCATCTGTATTGGCATCAGTGGTAACGCTTATCTTTTAAGATCATTTCAATACATAAAGAGAGAGATAATTTAGAGATCAATTATCAGTTGCTCTGATTTTACTTTTCACAGATATGTTTAAGTAAAATGTATATTGTTCTTTTATTCTATGAACTACTGACATGTCTCCGAAAAAACAAGCAAAAGTTTTATTTTTATTTGCTGAGAAATGGTCAAAATAACCTCATTATTTGACGTCTGAAAACGCTGCGCATTAGATCTTCTTTCTACTGCAAAGAAAAGAAGTTCATTTACATTTGGAAACAATAACTCCTATGTTTTTGTTATGATGTGTTCTAGAGGTGAACAGAATTACAGCTGGCAAAAACGTTGTGAATATGTAATGAACAAAACTGGAGTCCAACTTGCACAAGGAATATTTCAGAAAAGCACACAAAAAATCCAAAAACTTTCAAAGTTTATCCATCCCATTTCTAAACTGGCTTATCAAGATACTAGTTTGACAGAATGATTTCTGCACAGGTGCGCCTTAGGCAGGCCACATTAGAAGACCAGTTTGAAATGTGCTGTTTGCTTAATTGGTGGGTCTGAAACCAGACCAACCAGATGTGTCCAACACATCTCCTTCACATGGAGTTGATCTGCTTGTTCATAGTAGCCTGTAAAATGTGGAACATTTACTGGCCGTTCAAAGTTGATGAATATTTTCAGGAACTGGAACGGCATAGGATTGTTCGGGATGCTCTGGATGCGCTGATCCAGAGCATCCCAACCATGTTCAATGGGTGACATGTTTGTTTAGTAATCTGGCCATGCACAAACTGGGATGTTTTCAGTTTACAGGAATTGTGTACAGATGCTTGCAAATTGGGACGGTTCACCAGGATGCTGTGACATGAGGCGCTGTTCGTGGATGAATGCCACAACAATGTGTCTCAGGTTTGCTTCACGATTTCTCTGTGCATTCAAAATGCCATTGATAAAATGTGTTCTATGTCCTCCACATATTTCAGCCCATACCACAAACCCACCGCCACCATCAGTCACTCAATCCACAAACGTTGACCTCAGCAAACCGTTCACCCACAAAATGAAGCAAACGTTATCATCTGTCTGCCCTGAACAGTGAAAACTGGGATTCATTCTTGAAGATCAAATCTCTCCTATGTGCCAGACACCATCAAATGTGAGCATTTGCCAATTCCAGTTGGTTAGAGCGACGAACAACAAGCCTCCAGACGACTCTGAGACAGTTTTTGACTGTTTGTGCAGGAGGTCTTTGTGCAAACTAATTGGTTCAGCAGTTGTCCGGATAGCTGGTCTCAGACAATCTTAGCAGTGAACATGTTGGATGTGGAGTTGCTGGGCTGACGTGGTTACACATGCTCTGTGATTGTGAGGATGGTACAATTTACGACCACATCATCTGAAACGCCTTTGTAATTGGCTCCTGGTAGAGGAATGAACATTAAATTCACAGACAAAAGCTCTGGTCGACATAGCTGCAGTCAGCATGCCAATGGCTCGCCCCCTCAAAACGTGTAACGTCTGTGGCATTGTGCTGAGTGATAAAACAATACATTTCAGAGTGGTGTTTTACTTCGGCCTGCCCATGCCACTCCTGAGCAGTAATCATTCTGTCTGTCAAAATGACAGAATGGATCTTGCTATGCAACACCCGCAAGGCAGGAGGGATTATGTAATCAAATGAAATCTATCACATATTTAGAATTATTGGTGAACAATATTTGAGAGAAATGTTTATATTGATAGTGTTTTAGGCCTTTGAGTTCAGCTCATGAAAAACAAAAGTGTTGCATTTGCATTTTAGTTCAGTGTATTTTTATGTCCAATGAAGTCATAAATGACAAACAGTCATGTTTTTTCAAATTCAAAAATCTGTGACACGCACGTAGAACATCAATTAAATGTGTATCTAATGTAAAATTTCAGATGCTCTTTTGACTGCAAACATTAATATCCCTGTTGATGATCTGAAGGAAGGCCAGTCTGTCACTATAAGCTGCTCAGTTTCAACTCCTTGTCCACAAATTGAACTCACCTGGAATCTCAAACGAGACTCTCTCAGACACACAGAGGGCAACACAGATGGAACCTTTACAAATAAAATCCAGGAGATTATCACTCTGTCAGACACACATGATGGATACAACATCAGATGTTCTGCCAGATATCTTGTGATTGGAGGAATCAAGACAGCAGAGACAGAAGTGACTCTCAGTGTTTCATGTAAGTGATCCTGTCAGCAGGTCACGGTTCAGCTGGTTCTGATCAATAAAGTTCATGTGTCTCATTTTCCTCAGATGCTCCTAAAGACACCTCAGCATCCATCAGTCCATCAGATTCGGAGCCAGAAGGTAGCTGGGTGGAGCTGAACTGCTCCAGCAGAGCCAAACCTCCACCCAAAATCACCTGGTTCAAGACAGGCCGCGAAACAATCAAGAAAGTATCTTCAGACAGCATTTTCAAGATTAAATTCACTGGGGGCGATGAGTACTACTGTTTAGCTTCAAATAAGCTGGGTAAACAGAAATCATCAATGATCAGTCTCAAATCACAAGGTAAATTCTGTTTCCTCTTTTGTTTTCCTTTTCAAAATCCTCAAAGAAATTGAGATATTAACATTTTTAAGCAGAATAAAAGGTTTATTTTGGAAAGAAGCTGAAATTATTGTTTGAAGACTTTGCCACCTCGTCAATATCTTAAAAAACTGTTATTCTGGGTACATTTAATCATGTTTGATCATTTTATTAATCAGTTCAAATTGCGCTTTATAAAATAAAAACGTTATAAGGGTGCCAGTAAAGCTTTTGCTCTTTTTTTTTTTTTTTTTTTTATAAAGTTGCAATACATGTATGATGGTATTTAAAGCCAAGATATTTTCCATTCAATGAAACCTGAGCATTTTTTCTTCTTAAAGGTGGAAGTGGACTTGGAGTCTGGATTTTTGCAATAATAGGGGTCTTGGTAATGATAGCTGTTGGCTGTGCAGTCTTCATCCTTGACAAGTAAGACTTTTGTCTTCTGAGTTGGAACAATTCAGCTGAAGAGCTGCTGGTCTCGGTTACATTTTGGTGTTTGACGTTTACTTTCCATCTCTCCTGTTTCTTTTCTCTCTTTCAGCTACTTCACTTCCTCCTCGTAGTATTAGTCAAGCTCATGTGTTGCGCTCGTGTGCAACACTAAAAATAAAATGCTGCAACCCGCTTCAGCCCTGTCAGCCACTGATTGGCGTATTAAATAGTTTCTGCCTCTTTGTAAAAACCTAAAAAGCATTTAATCATTCGTCAATCAATACGTTTATTCGCTCAACAAATCATATTTCACCACCAATGTACAAAATCGTTGTATCAAATTCATCTACATGAGTGACAAGCAGCAGACAGGAAGTGCTGACAATTCTAAGAAAATTATTTTTTTTACTTTGTTTAAAAGTCCAATATCTTTGCACAGTTTTTGTTTTATATGTATTTTTAAAATGAGATTTCTGTTGTAGATGCAGCCAGATTTCTGTGAGTCTCATTTTTCAAGTTCAAGTATATTTGTGTCACAAATTTCAGCAGCAAGGGAGTTCACAATGTTCTAAAAACATCACGCACTTACCGATTGTGAGACAAGCAATAAACATAACATTTAGCCAAAATGCAATAATCAACATCATCAATATATGTCAATTATGTAGAGTCGTGTTCGATAACTCTAAACAGGTGGATTTTTAGCCTTAGTTTACAGGAAGTCAGTGTTTCAGGCATTTTGCAGTTTTATGGGAAAACTGCAAGGGTGTTCTAGATTTGTGGACTCTAGAATTATTGGTTCCCAGACTCCTTAATTATAAGCCAGTAGAAACTGTCCAGTGAAAAGGGATCAGACTGAACAGACTTTAAGCATGTCTGCTTGCTGTTGTCATCCACACAAAGTACTGTTTCAGTGAGTCTCACCAAGCTCTGCGGGGTAAGTAAAAGTGCCAGTACATGAAGTTAATTCCTTTTTCTTCATTACATTTTATTTGCTGTCATCTCTTTGATTTTCTTTTCTTTTTTTTTCTTCTTTTTTTTTTTATTGGGATTTGAAGTCAGGAGGATCCATACAGCCTAAGAAGAGTCTTCCTAACCTCAAACCAAGTCCATAGTTAAAGGAAGGAGAATTTCTGGTTTTTTGATCTCCCGGAAAAGTCGGCGGAAGACCCAACACGGACCCACCTTTTACAGAGACGGTGAGAAAATCCTCAATCAGCATGTACATTTTTAAATTGACCAAAATAGAAAATACAAATTTGTGACCTACATACAAACATATTAACAATGACAATACAACTCATTTCCTGATTTCTCAAAATCTAATTCTTTCAATATTTCTCTTAGTTTTCCTTCCATTTATCTTGATTTCTGAGCGTTGGCAGTCGTGGTGGACCCTGATTGTGACACTTTCATTTTTGCTCCAACCAACACCCGCCTGACAATGCCTCCTCTGTGGGATAAACCGCTTCTTGCCCTTCGCTAATATCAGCCCCACACATAAGCCTCCAACAGCAGGGATCAAGCCTGAGACATCGTCGGACGCACAGCACAGCACCTCTGGCCTTTCCACACCTGAGAGTCCGGTAGGTCCGGTTCGATCTGGGACCACAATTGCAACATTTGCGATTGTTTTTTCCAGACGATTCTCAATGTTATTTTGGAATCTTTTCAAAGTATTTATCTTAAATTTATTTATTTTAAAGTGCTTTAAAATGAAACATAATCACACTGATCTAAAAAGTTACCTGTTTGTTTCCAACTCTTTGAGACACTTGATGAAAGTGACACAAAAAATGAGCAGACTCTCCACATTAGGTTTGGAAATGCAGATGCTGAAATCAGGCTTATAGCTGAGAACCAATTTTTTGTTCTCACCTAAATAAAATCAAGAGGCTGCAAAAGTTAACCTTCATTTGCTTTGAAAAATTAAAGACCATGATTTCTGCTTACAGTGCTTTGCTAGGAGCCAAAAACATTTATTCCTGTTATTATATTTATGTAAAATTAAGTGTTGCTCCTGTTTCAGAAACTCTTTTCTTTTGATGACTTTCTCTGCCTGCAAATTAAACTGCAGATTTCAGACTGCAGATGTCCCTCATGTTTCTTTGTGTTTTGAGGAAACTTTAAAATAAACACAGAAAGTTGGTTTGTTGTTTATTCTGGTTTATTATAGAGGCTCTAACCAACGTATTGACTGCAGTGAAAAAAGAAAAAAGCTGAGAAGTTGACGTAAAAACAAGAAGTGAGTGTATCAGTTCTGCAAGTGACTCACAGTGACAAACTTTTAATAAAACATATCTTCATGGATTATCAACATCTGTATTTATATTCTCGGCATTTTTGATATTTTTATTTTTTGGCTTCAACATTAACACTCATAGCTAAAGATAACTAAAAGGTGAGAAATGATCACTCATATGCAGTAGCTCTGAGCTTCATTGGATGACTTCATGATGCCAAACTGAGGAGACAGAGCTGACTTCCTGTTTCTCAGAGCATGAAGGATGAAACTCCTTATTCTAAATCGTCCGTTCACAGATGAGATCGATGTTCAATCTGCTGCTGATCAACTGATCCTAACACATCAACGGATTTTAAAACTTTAACTATTTTTGTTTTATCTGCAGAAATTCTGGTAAGTTCACATCATTGATTCTGATCATTTGATCAAATATTTCATCAACTTCTGTACATATTGTAAAAGACAGTTATTGTTGAAAACATTTTTGTTGAAATAAGGTTGAAGATTTTGATTTGAGTGTTTTAGATACTTTTGAAGAGCAAATTCAAAGATGTTCCTAATGCAGGCTTCTTACATCTACCAGTTCTAGATGTGTGTTAATTTATGCAAACAGCATTCTGAGTTACTTTGCAGTGAGTTAAACCTCTAATGTCAGAAATGATTTAATAACTCCTCTAAATGTTTGGTTTCCAGCCTCAGAGATGAAGCTCTACCAGAGTCTGACTGAGAACATGATGACTGTCAACGTGTTACTGAGTGTCTTCTTTCTTCCAGGTGAGATGTTTGTTATCTTCCTTTCATTCACATGAATCATTTCTATTCTGAAATATTTGAGCCACATCTTTGAACCTGCTGCAGCTGAACTGGAGTTTGTGGATCAGGAAGTTTCTCTGCAGACAGATTTGACTCCACATGATATTCATCATTTTTTTTTACAGGTGTTTTTGCTCTATACTGTGGTAGAGGTAAATCAGCCCTCTTCATCACGGCGCCACAGAAGATTGAAGCTCTGAGTGGATCTTGTCTGGAAATCCCATGTAGCTTTTATACAACAGAGCAGATTAACAGCAACATAAATATCAATGGAGTCTGGATGAAAAATGATTTAAATTTTGACAACAATCCAAATGTAGTTATTTCAACATCAGTAAATCAGTGAACAAATATCATCTGAACATCACTGGAAACTTGAGAGAGAAAAACTGCACAACTGTGTTTCCTGATTTACATACAAATTATACAGACACATATTTCTTCAGGATTGAGAACGGGCCGTTAAGAGCAACAGCTTGTGTAGATCCTATTCAAATAAGCGTTGCAGGTAAGAGAGGTTATGTTTTATTAAACAGTGACATTAATATTCTAGTTGGCAATTAAATTATCTCTGATTAAAATATCACCACACCTAATAATTTAGTGTCAATTTGATTCAAGTCTAGAAACATTTTAATGCTTTAAGTTATTTTTCTTTCTTTTCTTCTGCTATTCATTATGATGTTGCTGTGCAGTAACACATCAAATCTCTCAGGAAGGAAAATAATGTTGAATGAAAAATCTGCAGTTGGCAGGATGTTGAATTTAAATAAATAACACTTTAAATGATCTGCAGCAAGTAATTGTGAAATTGAAGGATCTACATTATTATCAACAAAATTAATCAATGAGTTTTTACTATTCATGCCTGGAAATATGCTACATGAATGAAGATTTATTTATGTACTGATAGTCCTCTGTTAATGAAAATCTCTTGAAAATTAAGAGATTTTTTTTTCTTAAGCATCATAACTAGAACTGTAGCACAGCAAATATGTAAATGTGCTGCACAAACAATAATGATTCGGAAATCCCATACAAGTAATCAAACTACATTTATATAATTACTAAGGCATTGTATGGAGATGCTTGTTTTAATTTATTTTGTACATAATAAACTGTAATTAGATATTCATTTTTGTAAAATGTGTATCTGATGTGAAATCCCAGATTCTCCTCGGAGTCCCAGCATTAATGTGACCTCTGACCTGAAGGAGCATCAGTCTGTCACTGTAACCTGCTCAGCTTTCACTCCCTGTCCAAACTCACCTCCTGAACTCACCTGGAATCTCCAACAAGACTCTCTCAGACACACAGAGAAAAACACAGATGGAACCTTTACAACTAAAATCCAGGAGATCATCACTCTGTCAGACACACATGATGGATACAACATCAGCTGTTCTGCCAGATATCCTGTGATTGGAGGAAACAAGACAGCAGAGACAGAAGTGACTCTCAGTGTTTCATGTAAGTGATCCTGTCAGCAGGTCATGGTTCAGCTGGTTCTGATCAATAAAGTTCATGTGTCTCATTTTCCTCAGATGCTCCTAGAAACACCTCAGCATCCATCAGTCCATCAGGTTTGGTGTCAGCAGGTAGCTGGGTGGAGCTGAGCTGCTCCAGCAGAGCCAAACCTCCACCCACATTCACCTGGTTCAGGAAAAGTGAACATGGAGACATTAATGTGTCTGTGGGGCCGATTTATGGCTTCAATGTTACTGAGGGAGAAGAGTTTTACTGTGTGGCTTCAAATGATCTGGGGAATCAAACATCTTCTGTGATCCTAGCTACCAATAAAGGTAATTAATAACAGGTATTAAAAGTGTTAGATCATAGCATTTCAACTGAGTCCATATAATTATTACTTCTTCATGTTACCTGGTGTAAACTGAGTTACTCTACAGCAAAATGTTCCCTCAGCAGCTTTACTTCAAACATTGAGACTCTTATGTATCGATGAGGCAGGTTTACAGACTCCAAATGATCAATCAAGAAGTTATAGAAACTGTAGCTAATCTGGTCAGTGAAATGTTTTCCAATACACTTAAAGTCTGTCAAGGATGATTGTAATTCAGGTACTTGCAATAAACTCTGACAACATTTAATCTGCGTTTGATTCAATATTTCATGTTTCCA